GATTCCAGTGTGGCCATGCCCCTGGAGAGCTGATTTCTCACATTCCCTTTCTGTCTCTCTTTGGTGAGCACACATGCCCTTTGACCAAAAAAAAAAAAAAAATTTAATTACTGGAGAAACCAGCCAGGCACATACGTGTGCTTGCCCAAACTCCCAAGAGGAGGGAGAGGTGGAGAAGAGATTGCAGTAAGACCGTCCCACATGGGAGTGGGGACTTTCTTACTTTCTCTCTTTCTGTTTCTCTCCAGTGAGTGCATTTTCCATCTGGCATGCATGCATGCATAAATAAATAAAATCTAAAACAATGCAAAGGATGCCTAAGGAAAAAAGCTAGAAGGAAAACTATCAAACCTGAACAACGATTGGGTTCAGATGGAGGGTTAGGGTGATTTTTTTCCCCTCCATTTCCCTGTTTTCCACTCATTTAGGAGTGCAGTGGTGATGTTTTTCCAAGGAAGCCGTTTTATTCTTTGTGAAAAGTCATCCAATCCAACTCCCATCCTGAAACAGGAAACCTCCCTACAACCACTAAATGCTCTTCCAATCCCCAATTTCTGGGAGGCTTACTCAGGCCTGACAACCAGGGAAGCAGGAGGGACGTGGCATTGATGGTTCCTGCCAAGTGCCAGACGTGCTAGACGCACAGTGCCTTGCCGGAGGAGGGGGAACGGGCCACCGTGGTATCGCACTTGGTCTTAGAAATAGCCGTGGGGTGAGGGGTTCCTGTATTCTTCGGCAGTAGGTGGCCAAGACTGGGACGCAGGTCTAAGGGTCTCCACTCTAAGAGTTCAGGGTGAGCAGGTGAGCTGCCCACAATATCTTGTAACCTAATGGAATCAAGGCCAAGGGCCCAGCCAGGTTGACTATTATGGGGTTGTCTAGCTAACAAGGGGGTGAAGGGGTCTCAGCTCAGTTAAGGCACCGACATGCTTACTCTCCCATCAAATCTGCTAATAATTCTCTCCTGAGAAAGCTAGTTCCTCGATGACCAGCCACCCCTGACACCCATGGATCTCACCCAGCCCTCACCCAAGCTCCCTACTCTCCTTCCTCTACCCCAGCTCTGCAGCCTCCTTGCCTCCACTTGAGTTGGTGTCCCATTGGAGAAAGGCCTCCCTATTGAAAGGGCCGTGCTTCGACTCAGGCTGGCCAAGTCAGTTCCCTCACATAAAAGACTCACTAAGTCTTGGAGACGCTTGGAACCCAGACAGAATGGAATTTTCTCCCTATTTTCTTTACAACTGAGAAAACACACACAAACACAAGAGCATATTTATTACGATATTTCTATCCCCAAGTTTGTCTTTTAAAAAAAGAAGAAATAAAATTAGTTTCTCTTGCCCGCTCCACCCTGATCCCATCCCTCCATCCCCACTGCTCCTTCTCATTCCTTCCCTTTTCCTGGTCGAGGCCAGGGAGGAAAACAGAGCCAGCCAAGCCTCACAGAGAACGGCTGCATCCCCAGACAATGTCCGGCTTGTTCAGAGAGCGAGGGAAGAAACAGAACTCCGAAAACATACACGGAACTTCCCAATGAAGGGGGATCTGAGGGAAGAACAGGCGGGCCTTGTGTCTCAACCTGAATCCCCGAGGCTCTGGGAAGAGAGGAGCCCACAAGTCTAGGCCCCTCCCCAGTGTGGAGAGGACACCTTACCCTTCCACCCTCCAGGAAGCAGCTTCTCAACATGACTCGACACCCTAGACCTGAAGGAGCACCCCACAACCTAGTGGTCTTCCAGGCCAGAACCTAGAGCCCCAGAGACGTTTTTATTTTTAAGGCAGCATCTAAGTAGAAAAATCCGTAAGGAGGGGGCCGCAGGGGGTTTGGTGGTTAAGGCATTGGACTCCCACATGGCCAGCCACAATTCGAGTCCCGGATCTGGCGGTTTGCTTTCTCACTTTCCCTCTATCTCTCTCTGGTGAGTACATGTGCCCTGTAGCAAATTAAATAATAAGAGTAATAATGATAATGATAAATGAAATTAAGTAATCATTTAAAAAAGAAAAATCCATAAGGAGATACAAGGGGCTACTTCTTTCTTTTAATTTTTTTTTTTTTTAGGAGAGGATTTTGCTATAGGGCGCGTGCGCTCGCCAGACAGACAGAGACAGACAGAGAGACAGAAAGCGAGAAATCACCCCCCAGGGGGGATGTCCATGCCGCAATCCCTTCTCCTCCATTCTCCTCTCGGGATCTTGGGCACGCACGCACACGCGCCCAGCATGAGTTTTAAGCCACCGGGTCCAGGACGTGAACTGCAGCTGACTACATAGGAGTCGAACGAAATAGCCATTACGCTAACTGCTGGTCCCAAGGGGCTACTTCTCAAACGTTCGATTTTTCTGGGCTTCCTGCAGGGTAAGGGTGACGTGGCTCACACCTTCGTCTCTATATCCCCTGCAGCACCACACAGACGGCCCTTTCATTCCTCTGGTCAACCATGCATGGAGCCTGAGTGAAGGAGAGGTGGTAGAAGGATGTCACTTGAGAACAGGCCGAAAGGGGGAGCCCATCCTGGACATGCAGCAGCCCTCTCTCAGGAGTTCCCAGGTGGAAACACCAGGGATCCCCCTGCCAGCACCCATGGGGAATGTGCACCCCATTCCCAAATTTATCCAGGCTCCAGCCAATGGTGACTGAGCCAAGAGTGACACCTACTGGGCTATCAGGCTCTGACAGAGCTGAGGAAGCCAGGGTGTTGCCTCAGCTCAGCCTGGTGACTCTCAGCCTCTGAAAGTTCCATGCTCTTTCCTTTAGCGCCAGGTCCTCCAGCCACCCCAAAGCCTCCTCCCTTTGTAATGCAAACACTTCTTAAACCAGGGCCAGCAGGTGGCATGGTGGTTAGAGTGTGGACTCACTTGTGGTTGACCATGGTTCGAGTCCCAGACCTGGCAACTTGCTTTCTCACTTGCCTTTTCTCTCTCTCTCTAGTCAAAATAAAAAATAATAACAAATAAAATTAAATAAGTAAATAAATCTTTAAAGAAAAAACTTCTTAAATTAAAAAAAAAAAAAAGTTGGGACCAGCAGATGGCATAATGGTTACGTTGCTGGAGTCTCCCATAGAGGTCCGTGGTTCAAATCCTGGACCTGGCAACTTGAAACTCATGCCAGGCATGTGTGCGTGAATGCCCAAGATCCCGAGAGGAGAATGGAAGAGAAGGGATTGTTGCATGGTCATCCTCCCGGGGAGTGATTGCTCGCTTTCTGTCTCTCTGTCTCTCCAGTGCATGCATGCACCCTATAGCAAAAATCTCTCAAAAAAAAAAAAAAAGAGAGAGAGAGAGAGATTTATAATAAGGAATTGGTTCATGCAGTAATGGAGGTTGTAAAGTACAAGATCTGCATGGTGAATTGGTAAACTGAAGACCCAAGAGAACCGATGGGTTAGTTCTAGCCCAAGTCTGAAGCTTAAGACTTGGGAACACTGATGGATAATTTTAGTTCAAAGGCCAATAGGCTCGAGAGCCAGGAAGAACTGATGTTTCAGTTCAAGTTTAAAGGACGGATAAAACCAGTCTCCTAGCTTGAAGACCATCGGGCAGGAACTCTCTTATCCAGGGGAAGGTCAGTGTTTTGTTCTTTTGAGGCCTTCAGTTGATTGGGCGAGACCCACCCATATCAGGGAGGACAATCTGCTTCACTCAGTCTAATGATTCAAAAGTTAATCATGGGACTGGCAAGTGGTGTGGTGATTAAAGCATTAGATTCCCACATGGCTGACCATGGTTTGAACCCCAAACCTGGTGGCTTGCTTTCTCACTTCTCTTTCTCTCTCTGTCTCTCTCTGGTCAAATTAAAAAAAAAAAAAAAAAGAGAGAGAGAGAGAGATTTATAATAAGGAATTGGTTCATGCAGTAATGGAGGTTGTAAAGTACAAGATCTGCATGGTGAATTGGTAAACTGAAGACCCAAGAGAACCGATGGGTTAGTTCTAGCCCAAGTCTGAAGCTTAAGACTTGGGAACACTGATGGATAATTTTAGTTCAAAGGCCAATAGGCTCGAGAGCCAGGAAGAACTGATGTTTCAGTTCAAGTTTAAAGGACGGATAAAACCAGTCTCCTAGCTTGAAGACCATCGGGCAGGAACTCTCTTATCCAGGGGAAGGTCAGTGTTTTGTTCTTTTGAGGCCTTCAGTTGATTGGGCGAGACCCACCCATATCAGGGAGGACAATCTGCTTCACTCAGTCTAATGATTCAAAAGTTAATCATGGGACTGGCAAGTGGTGTGGTGATTAAAGCATTAGATTCCCACATGGCTGACCATGGTTTGAACCCCAAACCTGGTGGCTTGCTTTCTCACTTCTCTTTCTCTCTCTGTCTCTCTCTGGTCAAATTAAATAATAATTATAAATTAAATAATTCTCTTAAAAATAAAAGTTACTTGCACCTCAGACATATCCAGAACACTAACCAGATGTCTGGGCACTCCATGACCCAGCTAAGGTGACACATAAATTTAATTCTCACAAGAATTCATTACGATGAGCATCCACTGGCTAGATTAGGTTTATCATCCTGACACCTGTAATCAAACTAAAAAATCTGTGAAGGTTTTGTGATGGAATGTTTCTTAGAAAAAAAAAATCTCACAAGGCCAGCAGGTGGCATGAAGGTTAAGAAGCTGGATCCCACATGGCCAACTCCACAGTTCGAGTCTTGGATTCAGTGGCTTGAAAAACATCAAATATGTGTGCATGGGTGCCTAGAATCCTTAGAGAAGAATGAAGGGGAAGGGCCTGTGGAGTGACCATCCCTCCCTAGGGGTGATTTCTCACGTTTCCTCTTTCTTTCTCTCTGGCGAGTATATGCACCCTATAGCAAAACTAAAAAAAAAAAAAAAAGAAAAAGAAAGAAATCACCCAAATCATATGCAACCTCCGTATGTGGAAGTAATTTCAGATCCTCGGGCATGCGGTTTATCACCTGTGTTTTATGTCATGTGACACTCCCTGACCTCACCTTACCTTGACCATCTTAATAATGCCTCCGCCTTGTCTCTTCCAGGTGAACTATGACCACTTTACTCTGGGTGGCTGTGACTCTGAGGGTCATTACTGCTGCTGTCTCAGTAGAAGTCTCAGGTGAGGCCGTCCCATGCATGTCTCAGTAGGTTCTGAAGTTCTGGGCGCTGAGTACTGAATCCTGAACCTGGAGCTGCTAGTCCCCAGATGGAATTTCTCCCTTCCGGCCTTTTCCTGGCTCTGGCTCTTTCCTTTCCATGTGAGCGTAACCACAGTGGGCCAGCAGCCTGAACACGCATGCCCAGGGGCCTCTCTCAGGAATCCCGTTCAGTCTGCTCTCTAGTACGAGCCACTGGTGTGGAGTGCTTCTGGCTGGTGCCATTGTTCTCTGTGTGGTTTCACCTAGATCTGCCACACGCCCAGCCTGGAGTAGGGGCAGGACATAGACAAGCCAAAAGAGAAGACGCTGCCACGAGTGGATGGGCTGGATCATCAGGGAAGGAAAGATAGCCTGGGGAAAAAAAAACGAATCTGATAAGTCGTTGCCTTTCTTGGCAAGCCATCCTTGGGGAGCTGCCAGCCTGGCCGCTTGTATGTGGCAGGCACTGGGTATATTTCTGATCATCAAGCCTTGAACCAAATGAACAAACCTTCCTCTGATCTCGAGATGGGCTTGGCTCCAAAGTGCAATGTATCTCCCTTAAAACCAGACAAGAGAGGTCCCTGTTCAGGGCCATGTACTTTAGAGACCCTCGATTTGGCTGTCCTCCAGCCTCAACTTTTCCCCCAGAGAGGAGGAGTCGCTAGGGCCAATGGGACATGCCTACGAGATCTGCACTCTCTCTCTAGACACGCTCTGGACCCAGGATGCCCAGACTTCTCAGTCCAAGTGCACTCAAGCTTCTTCCAGGGCCTGGGTGGATCCATTCCCCTAAGGGAGAACCAACACAGTCCCCTTTTTCTCTGGCGAGTGCATGCACCCTATAGTAAAATTTTTAAAAATTAAAAAGAAAAAAAATCACCCAAATCATACACAACCTCCTGATCTGGAAGTGATTTCAGATCTTTGAGCATGTGGTTTATCACCTGTGTTTTATGTCACATGCTGCTACCTGACCTCACTTGCCTTTAACCATCTAAATAATGCCTCTGTCCTGGCATGGTGTGCAGGAGTGGCCGCGTGCACGGGATGGGAACAGAGCTGGGACATGAAGCTGAAATAAACACAGCTTGTGTACAGACCTCCTTGCAGTGCAATCAGTTGGGGGGAGGGGGCTCAGCACCACCTCCTCACACTCAGCCACTGCATCCCAATATAGAACGCTAAAGAATTCAAGAATTGGGGCTGGCCGGTGGCATGGTGGTTAAGGTGCTAGACTCTCACATGACCGACCACTATTTGAATCCTGCACCTGGTGGCTTTCTCTCTCTCTCTCTCTCTCATCAAATTTTTAAAATTATAAAAAATAAATAAAATTAAGTAAGTAATTCTTTTTAAAAAAAAAAATCTAAGAATTCTAAATTAGACTCTGGCTTTTCAGGTCATTTTGGAAGGCATCATTTTCAAATAAAAAGCTAGAACATACTCTGTTTCAGTCTGTTGGCCTGATGGATAACTCGTGGCTGTACATACCTGTAGCCTATGGGTTGCCTTTTGTACTGTGGCTCTGGGACCCACAGATATCTTGTCTTTGTCATTGAGGCCACACAGGCCAACAAGCTTACTAGGGTTTGGGGGAACTTTAAAAACTGCTGAGCTGGGGAACCAGCAGATGGCCTAGCGGTTACACCACTGGACTCCCAGATAGTTGACTACAGTTTGAGTCCTGGACCTGGCAACTTAAAACTCACACTGGGCGTGTGTGTGTGTGTGTGTGTCCAAAGTCCCAAGAGGAGAATGGAGGAGAAGGGACTGTGGCATGGACATCGCCCCTAAGGGATGATTTCTTGCTTTCTGTCTGTCTCTCTGGAGAGCACACGTGCCCTATAGCAAAAATCTCCAAAATAATGGAAAAAAAAAAAAAAAAACTGGTGAGCCGGGCACTGTAGTCACGTTCAGCTTTCCCCTGAGAGCCACCATGGATGGACCCAAGGTGTGTCAGGTGATGCTAGGGCTGGGCGCTCAGGGAGAGGTTTGTGGAAGGGCCTGGTGGAGACGATCCAGCACATTCAAGGTCTGAGACTGGCCTCCAGACATTCCTGGCTCCCCTTTCTTTGCCCTGTTGTGTATCTACCACCCACAAATATCTGCAACATTTTTATTCCCACCTGTAGGTGCTCCTGAAAGGAAGCGTTCCATAAATGTATGACTCACCATGAAAGGTGCTCTGTTTTAGAAAGCTGCTCCTTTCCCATTCAGGCAGACCTGCTCCTTGTTACAGGATTTGGTAAAATAGGCAGCATCTTCCCTCTTAATACTCTCTATGATTCATGTGGATCCCAGCCCTCACCCAACCCCTACCCTTCGTCTGACTCCTTGCAGACTAAAATGTGTGATTTTCTCTAACATTTCTCCACCTAGATCCCTCCCAACTCCCAGACAGAAGAAGGGAGTAATTTACCCGCATGCGCAGCAAGCTACCACCCAGCACAGATCTCCCTGAACGGGACACACCTTTATAGTTTTGTGCCTTAGCTTGAAAAGTTGTATGGATTTTGTTGTTGCTGTCATTCTTTGTTTATGCCATAGGGCGTGTTCGCTCGCTTGAGAGAGACAGAGACAGTGAGAAGGAAAGCGAGAAATCACCTCTTAGGGGGGATGACCACACTGCAATCCCTTTCCTTCCATTCTCTTCCTGGGATTTTGGGCATGCATGCACGCTCACACGCCCAGGTCCAGGACTTGAAACACGGTCAGCCATGGGAGAGTCCAGCGCCTCAATCACTAAGCATGCACAAGCTCAGGGTGTTCAGGGAAGTCTCTGGATGCAAATCTGGAACCTTCTCATGTGGACAGCTTTGCAGGGACTTCACGTTACTGCTGCACCACTGTCTGACCCCCAAACAAGTTTTTGAGACAAGCTGTCACTCTAAGCAAATGTTTATACTGTGGTTTGGTGTTCCCTGGGGTACCCCCGTTTGAGAAACAGAGAGGTGGCCTAGACTCTGAGGTTTCCTCTGCCCTCATCTGGAACCCTTTACCCGTTCCATAGTTTCTGTCTTGAGGTGCAGAGCCCTGAGGTTTTGTGGAATGCTGCTCTGGAGAAATGTTGGACAGCTTCCTGGCAATTTCCATGTGACACAGGAGTATCCCCCAATGGGCTCAAACACCCTCACTGGATCCAGGTCTTTTGGGGGTGCTGGGTGGTCCTCTGAGTCACTAACAGGTCTGTCTTCCACCTCCACCACACAGATCATGACAACTCCCTGAGTGTGAGCATCCCCCAGCCGTCCCCCCTGAAAGTCCTCCTGGGGACCTCCCTCACCATCCCCTGCTATTTCATCGACCCCATGCACCCTGTGACCACCGCCCCCTCCACCGCGCCCCTCACCCCGAGAATCAAGTGGAGCCGCATTTCCAAGGAGAAGGAGGTGGTACTGCTGGTGGCCACGGAAGGGCAAGTGAGGGTCAACAGTGCCTACCAGGACAAGGTCTCGCTGCCCAACTACCCGGCCATCCCCAGTGACGCCTCCTTGGAGATCCAGAGCCTGCGCTCCAATGACTCTGGGATCTATCGCTGCGAGGTGATGCATGGCATTGAGGACAGCAAGGCCACCTTGGAGGTCGTGGTGAAAGGTGAGAGCCTCCCACGGGGGACCCTGCTTCACCTGCAGAAAGAACCAGAATATCCTCACCAGTGCAGATCAGGGCAGGCTGGCTTTCCAACTCCCCCATGTCCCTCAGTCAAGTCCCTTACCTTCAGCTCCTTCCCCTGCCACATGGAGCTGGTAATGCCATTCTCTCTAGACAGTGGGGGATTGGGGATTAAACACTTTCTGGTCCTGGTTGCAGGCAAATGATGGTTTGTGCTTTGCAAGAATCCTACGATTTGCTGGGCTTTGTGATCATGTCCATTCTGCAGACAGGCCAACCGAGGTTGAGTGACTTGCCTGAAGTCACCCTGGAAATGCATCAAAGCAAGCTCCTGGCATTTGATCCAAGAGTTTTGTCCTGCCCCCTCCTCCACCCATTTACACTCACTTCCAGAAACCAAAGATAGGGCTGAAGACTCCCTGGTCTCCTCTCTCCCTGTGGTTCAAGGAGAACAGTTAGGTCCTCAGTCGGCTTTGGGACTTTGGTCTGCACCAGCTTTTTCCCAAGGAAGACACAGTGGGAGGTGCTGCAAAAGTTCACTTCTGTGTCCCTTCACCAGGGCTCCCACTAGGATGTCCTTGGGCTGAGGGTACATGGGGCTCTGAGTGTCTCTCAAAAGCAATATGAGGTCCTATAATGACAAGAAAAGAAAAGATAAGAAAGCAAATTTTAGCTTAATCTGAAGAACATTCTTGTTATCAGAATTAACTTAAGTATTCAAAATGGAATGCCTTGAGTAGTAGTGAGTTCCCCATTACCAGGGGTCTTCCAGCAAAGTCACAGGGCCCACGTGCAAGCATGGAGAGGGGTTCCATGTGTCAGCCCGGCCCAGTTAGTTCCTAAGGCCCCTCGGGCTGTTGCTGCCATTGTGCTGGGCGTCATGATCGGAGCCTATGCCTGACCTACTGTCCCGCCCGCGCCCGCGTGTCTCGCAGGTATCGTGTTCCATTACAGAGCCATCTCCACGCGCTACACCCTGGACTTCGACAGGGCGCAGCGGGCCTGCCTGCAGAACAGCGCCATCATCGCCTCCCCCGAGCAGCTGCAGGCCGCCTACGAGGACGGCTTCCACCAGTGTGATGCCGGTTGGCTGTCCGACCAGACTGTCCGGTGAGACCCCAGCTGCCAGCAGAGGAGGGGTATGAGGGCCGGGGCCAGGGACTGGAGACCACTGAGGAGTGGCCCAAACGTTGGCCAGTGCTAAGCTGGTACCAGCGCAACACTGTGGTTGCCTAGGTCAGAGGCTACAGTCCTGCCTTGGCCAACATGGGCACCTGGTGACTCACTGCAGTGGAGTGAGTAGCTGTTAGCAGCCTGGCCTCGCACACCACTATTCTTCCTATTTTTCACACCCGCACTTTGGGTCCTGGCAGGTACCCCATCCATACTCCCCGAGAAGGCTGCTATGGAGACAAGGATGAGTTTCCTGGCGTGAGAACCTATGGCATCCGAGACACCAATGAGACCTATGACGTGTACTGCTTCGCCGAGGAGATGGAAGGTGAGGCTGCCCCCTACCAGGAGGGACCCTACTCCCTTCCCAAGAGCCCTCTTGCCATGCTGTCACCCCACTGACCCTCAGGATCACATAAGCCTCCTTGAGCAGGGTGCACGCTCAGGACCTAACCCCACTAGATCCTCCTCTGCCCTGAAGAGGGTTAGGGAGGGGCCAATAGGTCTGGGCCCCCGACTCTCCACTCTGGAGAGAGTCTTGGATGTCCCAAGCATGGGCAAACTGGTGTCCTGCTGGGCCCAAAAGCGTACGTCATAGGAGGTCTCTCGCCTGGGACTACCCCCACCAGCCAGGACGCCCACCACTGTTCTGGCCAGCTCATCCCTGTCCTGAGGTCCATGAAAACTCAGCTCAGCCTCATCTCCCTCGCAAAGGACATCCCAGGCCCCTCTAGGGTGGACCGTCAGGGACGGAGTTCTCAGAAAGCTGGCTGCCCAGCCTCCCTCTCTTAACTCCCCTGTTGCTAGCTTCCAGCCCCTGGCCTTCCTGGTAAGGTGGTTCTGCAGAGAATCGGGAGCAGTGACAAGGAGCCTGGATCCTGTCTCTGCTGTTTAAAGGATGCTCATTTTGCTCAGTTACCCAGCAGATGGACGACATGCCCTCCCCCATCTGCATCCATTTACTCCTTTGGACTCTGTCTCTCTACCCCTCAACCCCTATCCCCAGGCTACAAGCACAGAGCTCTCAGCTGCTCCAGTCTCATCCACGGGCTCTTTCCGACACAGGAGCAGCCCCCAACTTTCTGACCATCACAGCCCCTCTTCCTTTTCCCAACCCAGGACCTAGACCCCTGGATTAGTTAGCAAGTCTCTGTGTTCCCATACTTGGCTATCCAATGACAAACAGGACGGCCAGGCCAAGCTGCCAATGAGCAGGGGTGACCAGAACTGTAGCCCACAGCCTACCCTACCCCAATACAACCTCAGTGAGCTTTTGCAAAGTCACGATGCATGTTTGCATAGACGAATATATCATGAGGGCCAGCAGGCAGACTCCCACATGGCTTCATGGCATCAAAGAAAGCCATGGATAGCTCTGGGAGTGCAGATGGGGGAGGCAGAAGGGAGACCCTCACCCCCAACGTGTCCTCCACAGGCGAGGTCTTCTATGCAACATCTCCGGAGAAGTTCACCTTCCAGGAGGCAGCCAATGAGTGCCGGCGACTGGGCGCCCGCCTGGCCACCACAGGCCAGCTCTACCTGGCCTGGCAGAGTGGCATGGACATGTGCAGTGCTGGCTGGCTTGCCGACCGCAGCGTGCGCTACCCTATCTCCAAGGCCCGGCCCAACTGCGGGGGCAACTTGCTGGGTGTGAGGACTGTCTACCTGCATGCCAACCAGACGGGCTACCCCGACCCGTCATCCCGCTATGACGCCATCTGCTACACAGGTGGGGCTGAGACCAGAGGTGGGCAGGGGCATCGCTCCATCGAAATCAGGGTCCGGAGGTAGAGAAAATCCTGGAAAGGGGCTATTGGGATTTGCCCCAAGGGGCCAATGAATACCTAGACCCCATGGTTTGAGCGTCCCCTTCATTTTCACTGGTTCATAAGAAGAGCAAAGGTGGAGACATCAGAGAACAGGGTCAGATGCATGAGCTTCAGAATCTGTTTTCTCAGGTTTGAATCTCAGTCCTGCCACCTACAACAGGGTTACCCTGGCAAAGTCAAGGCCCCGAGCCTCACTTTCTTCAGCTGGTTAATGGGGAGATGGTGTCGCTTGGAACATAGGGGAGCCTTACGTGAGGCCATGCCTCCACACAGGGCGCTATCATCTGCCCTTTTAAATCAATACACTTGGGGCCAGCAGGTGGTGTGGTGATTAAGGATGCTGGATTCCTATATGGCCAGCCACAGTTCAAGTCCCAGACCTGGCGGTTTGCTATCACTCTCTCTCTCTCTCACTCTGTCTCTCTCTGGTCAAATTAAAATTAATTAATTAATTAAAGTTAAATAAAATAATTCTTTATAAATAAATAATTTGATGCACTTATAGGAAGCATTAATATGTTGTGTGGCTTGTTTTTGTTTTGAGAGATTTTGCTACAGGGCGCATGCACTCGCCAGACAGACAGAGAAAGAGAGACAGGAAGTGAGAAATCACCCCCCAGGGGGGGTGGCCACACTGCAATCCCTTCTCCTCCATTGTCCTCTCGGGATCCTGGGCATGCATGCACACGCGCCCAGCATGAGTTTTAAGCCACCAGTTCTGGGACTCAAACTGCGGTCGACTGCATGGGAGTCCAGCAACATAGTCATTAGGCTAACTGCTGATCCCTGAAAAGAATAATGGCTATTAAGGTGGCTGGATCTCACATGGCTGGCTTCATGGTTTGAGCTCTGGTTCCTGAGGCTTCAAAAACACACCAGGCACATGTGTGTGTGCTCAAAGTCCCAAGAGGAGTATGTAGGAGAAGGGACTGCAGCATGGTCTTCCCCCGGGATGTGATTTTTCACTTACTCGCTGTCTGTCTCTGACAAGCACACATACCCTGTAGCAAAACTAAAAAAAGGGGAGGGGTGGAGTTTGGCAGGGGCTTTATTTTGAAAAATTACACTAAAATTTTTTAACAAGTTTTTCTAATATTTAACATAAGGTAGACTGTAATTATAATTAAGCGCTTAGTTTTGGAGGGTTAAGACAATGAATATCATGGATAAGAACTACATAACTTTTTGACAGGTCATTTCGTATTTTACTTCCACAGACTGATTTTACACAGGGAGGGTTAATTTTTGCAAAACTAGTTACGATTGCGCCACCTGTGGTAGTACAGGGGACAGGGTACTGCTGGGTGACACTGGGGCCATAGGGCGGGCCTCCGGTTGGGATCCCAGATTGACCTGAATCATGGCTGGCGGGGAGACTGGCGGAAGGATTGCCTGTGGCAGGGCCTGTCAAGGGTTCTTGTCTCTCTCTCTAACTCGGTCTCTCTCTCTCTTCCTCAGTAAATAAATAGGTTTTAAAATTTAGGATCCTCCTCTTTCCCCACCAAAAAACCTCTCTTTGCCAAAAATCACACCGGGCACATGCATGTGTGTGCCCAAGATCCTGAGAGAATGGAGAAGAAGGGATTGTGGTGTGGCCAACCCTCCTGGGGGGGGATTTCTCACCTTCTCTCTCACTGTCTCTATATTTCTCTGGCAAGCACATGCAACCTAAGGTAAAAATCTCTTGATGTTCTAACCATTCCTTTGGAAGTAGCATTATTCTCATAAATGTTCTCCCCATTAGCTGAGCGACTAATGCGCGTCCTTGCCCTGACCCTAGGTGAAGACTTCGTGGACATCCCAGAAAACTTCTTTGGGGTGGGTGGTGAGGGGGACATCACCATTCAGACGGTGACCTGGCCCGACGTGGAGCTGCCCCTGCCCCGAAACATCACCGAGGGTGAAGCCCGAGGCAACGTGATCCTCACCGCGAGGCCGATCTTCGACGTCTCCCCCACTGCTCTGGAGCCTGAGGAGCCCTTCACATTCGCCCCTGACGTAGGGGCCACCGCCTTCCCAGAGGCTGAGAATGAGACTAGAGAGGCCACCAGGCCCTGGGGCTTTCCTGAGGAACTCATTCCTGGCCCGGGCTCTCCCACGGCCTTCACTAGTGAGGACCTGGTTGTGCAGGTGACCGCTGTCCCAGGTGCAGCCGAAGTCCCTGGGCAGCCACGCTTACCAGGAGGTAAGTGTCCAGCCCTCAGTGGGATGCATCGGGAGGAAGGCGGAAAAAACTTGGCCTTTGGTCCTGACGACACCTTCACTTTAACTTGGGTCCGACACACCACTCTCCTCTCAGGGTTTAGTCTCCTCATCTGTAAAACAAAGAGGAGGGGGCCAGCAGATGGCATAGTGGTTACATTGCTGGACTCCCACATGGCCAACTACAGTTCAAGTCCAGAACCTGGTGGCTCAAAAATCACACCAGGCACATGCATGTGTGTGCCCAAGATCCCGAGAGAATGGAGAAGGGATTGTGGTGTGGCCAACCCTCCTGGGGGGTGATTTCTCACCTTCTCTCTCACTGTCTCTATATTTCTCTGGCAAGCACATGCAACCTAAGGTAAAAATCTCTTTAAAAAGAGTGAAGAGGACAGGCCAGACCAGTCATGTTCATCCTCTCTTGCCACAAAGCACTTACTTACAATGAAGTTGTAGGTGGAAACCAGCTTGTTTATCAAGCAAACAAAAGTGCTGCACAGGCCCAGCCACAGTGGTGCACACCACTAAGACACTGTGTTCCGAGGCTGGGATCTCACGGGAAGTCCAGGTTCAATTCCTGATTCAGTCTAAAGACCAGGCCCCATGGTGTGTACCTGTAATCCCAGTGACTCAGGGAGGCTGAGGTAGGAGAACCAAGGGTTTGAGGCTGACCTGGGCAACACAGCAAAGCCCCTGTCTAATAAAGAACTGGATGGGGAACCAGCAGTTAGCATAATGGCTATGTCACTGGATTCCCACGTAGTCGACCGTGGTTCGCGTCCCGGACCCGGTGGCTTAGAACTCACACCGGGCGCGTGTGCATGTGTGCCCAAGATCCTGAGAGGAAAATGGAGGAGAAGGGATTGCGGCGTGACCATCCTCCCTGGGGGGTGATTTCTCGCTTTCTGTCTCTATGTCTCTCTCTGTCTGTCTGGCGAGCACACGCGCCCTATAGCGAAAAACTCTCCAAATAAATAAATGAATGAATGAAGAAAGAAAGAAAGAAAGAAAGAAAGAAAGAAAGAAAGAAAGAAAGAAAGAAAGAAAGAAAGAGCTGGATGTGGTGGCTGTGGTTGTCCCAGCTGGGAGGCTGAAGTAGGAGGATCATAGGATCAGCAAGACCTTGTCTTTGGGGGAAGAAAGCTGGGGGCTGGTGTCATAGCATGGTGACTAAGAGAGCCAGATGCCACATAGCCACCTCACAGTTCCAACCTTGGCCCAGGATGGCTTGAAAAACACTTCAGGCATCTGTGTGGACATGCCCTAAATCCCGACCGAAGGGAGAACTGAAGAAGGAATGGTGATGTGACCACACTCCATGGGGGGGCTTATCCTTCTCTTCCTCTCTCTCTCTGTCTCCCTAGCTTTCTAATAACCATATGTGCCCTCCGGCCTTTTTTTTTTTTTTTTTAATATAGACGCATGTGCTCGCGAGAGAAACAGAGGAACAGAGAGAAAGTGAGAAGTCACCCCCCCAAGGGAGATGGTCACGCCACAATCCCTTCTCCTCCATTCTTCTCTCAGGATTTTGCATGCACACATGCCCGGCATGAGTTTCAGGCCACTGGGTGTGGGACTTGAACTACAATCAGCCATATAGGAGTCCAGTGCCTTAACTACTATGCCATCTACCGGCCCCAGCAAAATTATTTTTAAAATAAAGAAAAAAAAAGAAAAAAATGCCATGCACAGATCTACGTGATCTGAGTGGAGCAGAGCATGAGATCTTCTCCAGTCCTCCATCCCTCCTTTCCCCATCAGGCATCTCCACAAAATAGAACCCTTTGAGGGCTGGCAGGTGGTGTGGTGGTTAAGGGTGCTGGACTCCCATATGGCCAACCATGGTTTGAGTCCCGGACCTGGGACTTGAATACGTATACTAGATTTGCTATGTCAGTGAGGAAGACTTAAGCTCCCTCCATGTCTCTGAAGCCTTAAGAACGGGGCCCTATGGGCACCTGAACCTGACCCCTCTCTCTCTTCCTCCCGTCCATCCAGGGGTCGTGTTCCACTATCGCCCCGGCCCCACCCGCTACTCGCTGACCTTTGAGGAGGCACAGGAGGCCTGCCTGCGCACCGGGGCAGTCATCGCCTCGCCCGAGCAGCTCCAGGCCGCCTACGAAGCGGGCTACGAGCAGTGTGACGCCGGCTGGCTGCGGGACCAGAGCGTCAGGTGAGGGGCGAGGTGGGCCCCTCTCCCAGCCCAAACCCAAATGGAAGAGGTCAGGCTTAAGGAGCACACCTGGCACGTCACCCAGCACCGTGGGCACTCGGTACCTTGCGGATTCCGAGGATTAACCAGAGACTCCATGTGGATTCCTTGTGGGTTAACCAGAGACTCCATGTGGATTCCTTGTGGGTTAACCAGAGACTCCATGGCTGCTGTGTTCATTTCTCCCCAGCACCGAGGCATATTCTGAAAGGCTGATGAAGGACACCAGGATGTTAGGATCTTGGTCATTCTCCTTAAAAGAGCCCCTACTCCAGAGCCCCATCCTCAGCTCCCAGTCCCCTCCAGCTAGATTCAGTGCCCTTCAATGCAGTGAGCCCTCTTCTGAAGCTAGGGGTCTCCAGGGGCCACGAGACCACTCCCCAGCTGCCCGGGGAACTTACTGCATGGGGCCTGCCTTCCCCCTGCGTAGGCCCTGAATGACCAGCTTTACCTCAAGATCCTGGACACCAGCCCCCAGAATAGGCCGTCATCCTCCTGTCTTGCCCTCCTTTGTAGATACCCCATCATGAGCCCGCGGACCCCATGTGTGGGTGACAAGGACAGCAGCCCAGGAGTCAGGACCTATGGTGTACGCCCATCATCAGAAACCTACGATGTCTACTGCTACGTGGACAGGCTCGAGGGTACAGGCCACATTCCCAATTTTGGGGGCCCTAGATGGGAAGGGGGCTGACAGGGGGACACGAAAAGGAGGGTGGAGTACCACCCCTCCCACTCCAACCCAGCATTCCAGGTGGGAAAAGTGCTGCTTAAGAAAGAAGGCTGGGGGCTAGCAGGTGGCATGGTGGTTAAGGCACCAGACGCCCACATGCTGACTGCAGTTCGAGTCTTGGACCCAGCGGCTTGAAAATCACACTGGGCGTGTGTGTGTATGTGCCTAAAATCCCAGGAGGAGAGTGGAGGAGGGATTAAGGTGTGGCCATCCCCTTGAAGGGTGATTTCTCACGCTTCACTCTCACCCTTGCTGTCTCTTTCAGGCAAGCGCATGTGCCATATGGCAAAAACCTTAAAAAAAACAAAAAAAAAAAAAAAAAGAAAAAGAAAAATCAATAATTTTTTTCAATTTCACTTAATTTCATGTCTTTTCATTTCAACAAAAGATCATCAAATTACTATTCTGCTGAGCCTAATTTTCGAAATGCTGGTGTTCTAGAAAGATTTCGGCATTGGGGAATTGTTTTGGGGACCCAGGGCAAATCACTTAACCTCTGCAGGTCTCAGTTTTCACACTTATAAATTGGGGCTGATTTCTACTTTACCTGAGGCTTTTTTTTTTTTTTGATAGAGATGTTTGCCTCGGTGAGTTCTCAGGATGGGGTGGGGAGGGCCCCAGCACTCACAGTGCTCAGTGAGAAGTGTCCAGGCAAGCTGCCTGTCTTAGCCAGGGGAGGGGATGTCTAAGTGAGGGCACTGGAGGCCCAGAGGAGGGAGAGGAGGAGGAGTCATTTCCCTAGGGAGTAGCTAACTTGTCCCGCTTCGCCTGGGACTTCACCTTTTTTTATTTTTTTAAAGTTTATTCATTTATTTCTTTCATGAAAGAGACAGAGACAGAAAGAGGCAGATCCGGGAACCAGCAGGTGGCATGGTGGTTAAGGTGCTGGACACTCCCACATGGCTGACCATGGTTCAAGTCCTGAACCTGGTGGCTTGCTTTCTTACTTTCTCTCTCTCTCTGTGTCTCTTTCTGGCCAAAATAAAATAAGTAAATGAATAAATAAAATTAAAAATAAATAAATCTTCAAAAAAAGAAAAGAAAAAAGAAAGAGACAGATCCCCCGAACAGGGTCCTCACACCGTGATCCGTCCCCAGTCTCAGTCAGCCCAGCTCACGGCCCATGCACCATGCTCAGGGAGGTCCCAAGACACAAACCCTGTACCTTTCCCACCCCAGTCCAGTACATTACGACTGCATCACCGCTTTTTTGTTTTGTTTTTAAGCACTAAAAGCCCTGAGTCCAGTAAAACCAGAGGAGTTTGTTCCTCTGCGTCCAGTATCCCTCAAAAAAACAGGGTGTGATTGGGCTGGGCTGGGTCTTTAGCCCGTGTGAGTAGAACACTTGTGAGTGGGCCAGGGTCAGGGGGCTTGACCATGGGTGAGCAGGAGCTGCCCTAGCTGAGGGTGGGAAGGGTCACATTGCCCCCTACCTCTCCCCCCAGGGGAGGTGTTTTTCGCCACTCGCCTGGAGCAGTTCACCTTCCAGGAAGCGCTGGCCTTCTGTGAATCTCACAATGCCACGCTGGCCTCCACGGGCCAGCTCTACGCCGCCTGGAGCCGCGGCCTGGACAAGTGCTATGCTGGCTGGCTGGCAGACGGCAGCCTCCGTTACCCCATCGTCACCCCAAGACCTGCCTGCGGCGGAGACAAGCCAGGCGTGAGAACGGTCTACCTCTACCCCAACCAGACGGGACTCCCAGACCCTCTGTCCCGGCACCATGCCTTCTGTTTCCGCAGTACGTATGAGTCCTCATTTCTCCTCTGCATCCTTTCTGCTTGGGAGTGGCTCTCTCCGACTCAGTCCTCCTGGTCCCCTCCACCGAAGTTCCCATCTGTCAAAATAACAGAAAAAGTCTCCCTGGGGCAGGGGCAGCTCTGGAGGTAACACCATCTTAGATGTTGATCCCAGGGCAAGTTCATCTTCTAAAGTTGCCCAGAGACAAGTAGAGAGAAGTGAGGAACAAATGTGGGTGCGAGGGCTGGTTCTGTGGTGCAGTGGTCAAGAGAGCCAGATCCCACATGATCAACCACGGTTCAAACCCCAGTCCCCAGGCTTGAACAACACAGGAGGCACATGTGCACGTGCGCCCATGAGTACAGAAGCTGGGAGTGTATTATCTAGCCCGTAGACCTACTGTGAGATAAAACGATTTTGTGAATGAAGGAACTTCTGAAAGTTTGCAGACTATGGAATTAAAATACAAGTTCATTTGGGCATGAAAAACTTTGAAATACATGCATAGCTTTTTCATCATAAACATTTTCTATGCACTTTTGGAAGACCTCGCATCCAGTCAGCCCTTTCTGTTCATGAGCTCTGCATCACAGATTTGACCAAGCATGGGCTGATTTTCTTCTACATTCATGAATACAGAGCCTTTGAATATGGAAGGCTGACCAGGAGAGACTTGAGCATCCATAGATTTTGCTACCGCAAGAGGGACCAGCAGTTGGTGTAACGGCTATGTTGCTGGACTCCCATGTATTTGACCGTGGTTTGAGTCCCGGACCCAGTGGTTTAAACTCATGCCGGGCATGTGTGCATGTGTGCCCAAGATCCTGAAAGGAGAATGGAGGAAAATGGAGTACAATGTGGCCATCCCCCCTGGGGGGTGATTTCTCACTTTCTGTCTCTCTTTGTCTTTCTGGCAAGTGCATGTGCCCTGTAGCATAAACCTTTCCCCCAAAAAAAGAAAGATTTTGGTTCCATAGGGTATAGGATTCAATTTCATACAGATCCCCAGAGGCTAACATGCACAGAACCTTTAGAGTAATGCATCCTGTGGACGGTAGATTCTGCAGAGAAAGGCCCCAGATCACCCTCCACTAAACTGCTGACGGCAGGTGCATATGGATATTGTATAGTTGGTGCAAATGGCTCTTATTAGTTGAGGATGCAAAGAGCCATTTCACTGAATGAAGAGAAAGAGGGGGGTAGCCCAGCCAACCTCAGGGTCTCCCTCTCCCTCTTAAGAAAGGCCAGCCTGGGATGGGTCACTGGTGTGGGAATGACCCTTACTGCCCACATCCCCTTCAGATGTTTCAGCAGCACCCGCTCCAGAAGAGGAGGAGGAGGGCACGTCCACACCACCCTTCGAGGTGGAGGAATGGATCGCTACCCAAGTGGGGCCCAGTGTGGCTGCCGTCCCCTTGGGAGAGGAAACAACAGCAATCCCAGACTTCACCATGGAGCCAGAAAGCCAGACGGAATGGGAGCCAGCTTACACCCCTGTGGGCACATCTCCACTGCCAGGTCAGTGTGGCTTGGACTCTGGGGCACGCCCAGAAATTCCTACCTCTGGCGTGCCGGGTGGGTGCCTTCTCTCTCTGGGACCAGTGCTGTTTCTTCAGCCCTGACAGTGGCTGGGTGTGCTCTGTGGGCAACTTTAACTACCTCAGCTGGTGTCTACAATCTGGTCAAAGTGACGAGGACAGCCTCATTCATAAATAAGCACAGTTTGAGTCCTAGATCCGGTGACTTGAAAGGCACACTGGGCACCTGTGTGTGCATGCCCAGAACCCAAAAAGGAGAGAGAAATGGAGGAGAAAGGATTGTAGCATGCCCATGCCACAGAGGGTGAGGGGTGTAATTGCTTTCTCACTTTCCCTCTTTCTCTCTCTCTCTGGTGAGCACACATGCCCTGTGGCAAAAATTTTTAAAAAAGAAGCAGGCCATCAGATGATGTGGTGGTTAGGGTGCTGGATACTCCCACATGGTCAGCCATAGTTTGAGTCCCAGACCTGGTGGCTTGCTTTCTCACTTTCCCTCTCTCTGTATCTCTCTCTAGTCAAATTAAAATGAACAAATAAATAAAATTAAAATTTAACAAAGAAGAAAAAGAAAAGAAAGAAAGATTATGTCATGACTATAAATGGGCATCCCTGGGACCAGCAGTTGGTGTAATGGCTATGTAGCCGACCGCAGTTCAAGTCCTGGACCCAGTGGCTTAAACTCATGCCAGGCACATGTGTACGCATACCCAAGATCTCAAGACGAGAATGGAGGAGAAGGGATTGCAGCGTGGCCATCCCCTCGGGGAGGTGATTTCTCACTTTCTATCTCTCTGTCTCTTTGTGTCTTTCTGTTGAGCGCATGCACCCTATAGCAAAAAACTCTCAAAAAAAGGGGGGGGGCATCCCACTATGTTTCTGAGATAGATTGATAGATGATAATTAAAAGATAAATAAAATTGTCAGAATAAAAAAAATGTTGGGGCCAGCAAGTGGTGTGGTGGTTAAGGTGCTGGAATTCCCACATCGCTGACCATAGTTCAAGTCCTGAACCTGGCAGCTTGCTTTCTCTCTCTCTCTTTCTCTCTCTCTCTCTCTCTCTCTCTCTCTCTCTCTCTGTCTTTCTCTGGCAAAACTCATGTGAAAATAATAATAATAATAAAGTTAAATAAAACAATTTAAAAAAACATCCTATTGTTTAGAATTAAAAAAATGTTTCTCTGGGTACTATTTAGATTCATCTTGCAGCCCTTGGAGCCAGAACAGTGCTGAATCCCACATAGCCAATTGCCTAGTTCGAATCCCTGATGCAGGGGCTTAAAAATCATGCTAGGTGTGTGTGTGTGCCCAAAATTGCAAGAAGAGAATGGAGGAGAAGGGATTGCAGAGTGGCCGTGGGGGAGAAGGGATTGCAGAGGGGCCATCCCCCCCCCCCGGAGTGATTTCTCACTTTCTCCCTCTCTCTCTGTCTCTCTCTGGCAAGGGCACATACCCTATGGTAAAAGTCTAAAAAGATAAAATTAAAAAAGAAAATCATCTTGCAGCCCTAGCTGGTGTACTTCTCTCCCTGCCCCTTCCCCCCCTCCCCCATTCTCCTCTATGCCAGAGTGCACTGTGAACCTGCCCGGTGGACCCCGCACCTCAGCACACAGGGACTCCACCTAGGAAACAAGCCCAAAAGTACATACAGCACCCAGCTAGGGCGTAAAGGCCACAAGACAGAGAGAAAAAAAGATGTTGCCATGCTACTTAGAAGTTTTCGTTTGGCTAGTTTTCAAAATTCTCAGGAATAGAGCTTTCAGAATTGAAAAAGCGAATGTCCGTGGTTGTCAGTGGTGGCATCTAGTGGGCTGTGTGGATGGTGCCCCCCTGGAGTCTCACAAAGCCCAGCCTGCGTGACCTGTGGCCCTGAGGGTAGTGGGAGGAGCTCTCTGGTTTGCTCCCCGCCCTCCTTGAGGAGATACTTAGCTGTATCGGAAAGCATCTGGATACACCTCTGAGCCTTGAACGATAATACTGTAAAAGGAGTGGCATTCAGCTTCTATGCATGATCTTAAAGTGGGCAGTTAATAAATCCATACCTCGTCTTTCTTCCTCCTTTCCTCCAGGGATCCCCCCTACGTGGCCTCCCACTGGTGCAACAACGGAAGAAGAAAGCATAACAACAGAAGAAGGCCATCCTGCAACCGAAGTGATCTCTGCCTCGGAGGAGCCGTTCCCTTCAGAGAAGCCATCCCCTTCGGAGGAGCCATCCCCTTCGGAGGAGCCGTCCCCTTCGGAGGAGCCGTCCCCTTCAGAGGAGCCGTCCCCTTCAGAGGAGCCGTCCCCTTCAGAGCAGCCCTGGCCTTCAGAGGAGCCATCCCCTTCAGAGCAGCCATCCCCTTCAGAGGAGCCCTCTACTTCAGAGGAACCATTCACAACTTCACCTGCAGTGCCCAGCGCAACCGAGCTGCCAGGCTCTGGGGAGGCATCTGGGACTCCTGACATCAGTGGTGACTTCACAGGCAGTGGAGATGCTTTAGGACGCCTTGACTCCAGTGGGCAGCCCTCAGTGGGCAGCGGAAGTGGACTTCCCTCTGGAGACTTTGACTCCAGTGGTCTTACCTCCACAGAGGGCTCAGCTCTGCCTGAGGGAAGTGGTCTGGCCTCAGGGGATGAAGAGAGCATTGAGCGGTCCAGCACTTCTGAGGTTGGTAAACTGCCTCCTGAAGGTGAGGGCCTAGAGGGCTCTGCTTCTGGAGTAAGGGACCTCAGTGGGCTTCCTTCTGGAGAAGTTCTAGAGACCTCTGCTTCTGGAGCAGAGGACCTCAGCGGGCCTCCTTCCGGAGAGGTTCCAGAGACTTCCACTTCTGGAGCAGAAGACATCAGTGTGCTTCCTTCTGAAGAGGTTCTGGAGACCTCTGCTTCTGGAGTAGGTGACCTCAGTGGGCTTCCTTCTGCAGAGGTTCCAGAGACCTCTACTTCTGGAGCAGGGGATCTCAGCGGGCTTCCTTCTGGAGAGGTTCCAGAGACTTCTGCTTCTGAAGTAGAGGATATTAGCAGGCTTCCTTCTGGAGAGGTTCCAGAGACTTCTGCTTCTGGTGTAGGCGACCTCAGTGGGCTTCCTTCTGGAGAGGTTCCAGAGACTTCTACTTCTGGAGCAGAGGACCTCAGTGGGCTTCCTTCTGGAGAGGTTCCAGAGACTTCTACTTCTGGAACAGAGGAGCTTAGCGGGCTTCCTTCTGGAGAGGTTCCAGAGACTTCTACTTCTGGAGCAGGGGACCTCAGTGGACGTCCTTCTGGAGAAGTTCCAGAGACTTCTACTTCTGGAGCAGGGGACCTCAGTGGGCTTCCTTCTGGAGGAGAAGGTCCAGAGATCTCTGCCTCTGGAATAGAGGACCTCAGTGGACTTCCTTCAGGAAGAGAAGGACTAGAAACATCTGCCTCTGGAGTAGAGGACATCAGTGGACTTACTACTGGAGGAGAAGATCTAGAGACTTTTGCCTCTGGAATAGGAAATGTCAGTGGACTTCCTTCTGGAAGGGAAGATCTAGAGACCTCTGCTTCTGGAATAGAAGATCTCAGTGGACTTCCTTCTGGAAGAGAAGGTCTAGAAACCTCTGTTTCTAGGGTAGGGGATGACCTCAGTGGACTTCCTTCTGGAAGGGAAGGTCTAGAGACCTCAGCTTCTGGAGCTGAGGACCTCAGTGGTCTGTCTTCTGGGAAAGAAGATTTAGAGGGGTCTGCTTCTGGAGGTTTGGACTTTGGCAGCCTGCCTTCTGGAACTCCAGGAAGTGGGCTAGCCCCAGAAGAAAGTAGCCTTCCCTCTGGATTTAGTGGTGAGTATTCTGGACTGGACCTTGGAAGTGGCCCATCCTCTGGCCTGCCTGACTTTAGTGGACTTCCATCTGGGTTCCCAACTGTCTCCCTAGTGGACACTACATTGGTGGAAGTGGTCACGGCCAGCACAGCAAGTGAACTAGAAGGAAGGGGGACCATTGGCATCAGTGGTGCAGGAGAAATATCTGGACTGCCCTTCCATGAACTGGACATTAGTGGAGGAACTAGTGGACTCTCTTCAGGAGGTGAGCTCAGTGGCCAAGCATCTGGGTCTCCTGACATCAGTGGGGAAACATCTGGACTCTTTGATGTCAGTGGACAGCCATCAGGGTTTCCTGATATACATGGGGGGACATCTGGAATCTTTGAGGTCAGCGGACAGCCATCAGGGTTTCCTGACACCAGTGGGGAACTATCTGGAGTGACTGGGATTAGTGGACTATCCTCTGGACAACCAGAGGTCAGTGGAGAAGCATCTGGAGTTGTTTATGGCAGTGGTCAGCCATTTGGCATAACTGACCTGAGTGGGGAAACATCCGGGGTCCCTGATATCAGTGGGCAGCCATCAGGGTTACCGGAGTTCAGTGGAGCAACATCCGCAGTGCCTCACCTGGTTTCTGGTGCCCTAAGTGGCAGTGGTGAATCTTCTGGCATTACATTTGTGGACACCAGTTTGGTCGAAGTGACCCCTACGACATTTAAAGAAGAAGAGGGCCTAGGGTCCGTGGAACTCAGCGGCCTCCCTTCTGGAGAGGTGGATCAGTCAGGTACATCTGGGATAGTGGATGTCAGTGGACAACCTTCTGGAATGACTGATTCCAGTGGGTTTACAACCCAGGCTCCAGAATTCAGTGGCCTACCAAGTGGAGTAGCTGAGGTCAGCGGAGACGCCTCTGGCACTGAGACTGGGAGCAGCTTGCCCTCGGGAGCATATGATGGCAGTGGGCTTCCATCTGGTTTCCCCACCATCTCTCTCGTGGACAGAACTTTGGTGGAATCTATAACCCAGCATCCAACAGCCCAAGAAGCAGGAGAAGGACCTTCGGGCATTTTGGAAGTCAGTGGTACTCCTTCTGGAGGACCAGACCTGTCTGGGGACCATTCTGGACTTTTGGACCTAAGTGGGCTGCAATCTGGGCTGGTGGAACCCAGTGGAGAGCCACCAAGTACTCCACATTTTAGTGAGGACTTTTCTAGCACCACTGATGGAAGTGGGGAATCCTCTACAGCTACGAGCTCTAGTGGGGAGGCCTCAGGGCTTCCAGAAGTTACTCTGATTGCTTCTGAGTTTGTAGAGGGTGTTACAGAACCAACTGCTTCTCAGGAACTTGGCCAAAGACCCCCTGTGACACACATGCCCCAGTTTTTTGAATCCAGTGGAGAAGCCTCTGCATCTGGGGACATTAGTGGAGCTCCAACAGCCTTCCCTGGGTCTGGGGTAGAAGCGTCCTCTGCCCCAGAATCCAGCAGTGAAACGTCTGCCTATCCTGAGGCTGAGATGGGTACACCTGCCACTCCCGAGGCCAGCGGAGACGTTTCTGGGTCCCCTGATCTGAGTGAATCCACCTCTACCTACCATGAAGTTGATACTGAGGGAACCTCAGGCCTGGGGCTGCATGGCACCACTTCAACCTTTCTGGAAGGCCCTAGAGAGGGGTCGACTACCCTGGAAGTGAGTGGAGACTCGGCCACCACCTACGGTGTGGGCACAGAGACATTGGGCTTGCCTTCAGCTGCTCCTGTGGCTTCTGGAGACAGGACTGAAATCAGCGGAGACCTGTCTGGTCACACCTCAGGGCTGGATATTGTTATCAGCACCAGCATCCCAGAGGCCGACTGGACCCAGCAGACACAGCGCCCTGCAGAGGCGCATCTAGAAATCGAGGCCTCCAGCCCTTTGTATTCAGGAGAAGAGAGCCAAACAACCGAAACAGCTACCTTCCCAACAGACGCTTCCATCCTCACTTCTCCAGCAGGGACAGGTGAATCGGAGTCAACCATGGCAGGTATTGCTGGAATTCTTGCCGTTTCACGTGTTTGGGTAGGTCAGTCTATAGATGACTGTAGCTCAGGACAAAGGTAGCTTTAAGGTTCCGAGCACAGCTCCGTCACAGATCAGCTGTGTAGCCTCCGGCAAGGTTTGTAACCCCTCTGAGCTTCATCTGTAAGATGGGAATGGTATCAGGGAAAATGAAGCTGAATATAAATATACTGAACATAAAGCAAGCACTTAGCGGGCCAGCAGGTAGAGTGGAGGGTGAGGTGCTGGCTCCTGCATGGCCAACTCTGGTTTGAGTCCCAGACCTGGAAGATTAAAAAACACTCTGGGTGTGTGCGCATGCATGCCCAAATTCTGAGAGGAGAATGGAGGAGAAGGCATTGCGGTGTGGCCGTGAAAATGGGTGCATGCCTGAATTCCTGAGAGGAGAAGGGATTATGGGGGGGTGCTTTCTTGCTTTCTCCCTCTCTAGTTATCTGTCCTGTCTGTCTTTCTCTCTGGCAAGCACACGCACCTTGTAACAAATTAAAAATAAATAAATAAATAAAAGGGAACCAGCAGTTAGCATAATGGCTATGTCACTGGACTCCCACGTAGTCGACCGCGGTTCGTGTCCCGGACCTGATGGCTTAAAACTCACGCCGGGCGCGTGTGCGTGTGTGCCCAAGATCCTGAGAGGAGAATGGAAGAGAAGGGATTGCGGCATGACCATCCCCCCTGGGGGGTGATTTCTCGCTTTCTGTCTCTAATGTCTCTCTCTGTCTGGCTGGCGAGCGCACACACCCTATAGCGAAAATCTCTCCAAAAAATAAATAAATAAAAAATAAAATAAGATAAATAAATAAATAAAACAGGGATCGGCAGGTGGCATGGTGGTTTAGGCTCTAGACTCCCAGGAGCCAACCACGGTTTGAGTCCTGGATCTGGCAACTTGCCCTCTCACTCACTCTTTCTCTCTTCGTCTCTCTCTGATGAGCATGCATGCCCTGTAGAAAATTTTAAGATAATAATGATTCATAAATTATATTAAATAATTCTTTAAAAGAGAAACAAAAAAGACTAGTAATGACTATTATTAAATTGGAGTTACATTACATGAGCATTCATAGGTGAATTCAAGTGTCTGTACTTGGCACAGGGAAAGAAAAGGACTATTCAGATAATTATTTAATTATTTTGTTGTCATTATTGTATGTTTATTTTAATTTGACCAGAGAGAGGGAAAGGGAAAGTGAGAAAGCAAGCCACCTGGTCCAGGACTTGAACCTCATTTGGCCATGTGGGAATTCGGTGCTTTAATCACCACGCCACCTGCCGGCCCCAAGGATAACTATGTAGAGAGTGCTAACAATTCTGCTTGTGCACTCTGCCCCGGACTGAGTGTGTCATAAGAGAGTGTTGATGATGTTTATGTCCAAGGTTTATTTTGTGCAGAGTTAAAACCTGAACAGTTGAGTTGGCCCTGTAGCACAGGGAGCCTGATCCCACAGGGCCAACCACAGTTCTGGCCACAGCAGTTTGAAAAATACACCAGCCATGAGGCCAGCAGGTGGCATGGTGATTAAGAACGCTGAACTCCCACATGGCCACCCTCAACTCTAGGTTCGAGTCCTAGACCTGGCAGCTTGTTTTCTCACTCTTTCACCTACTCACCCACTCCATCTTTCTCTGGTCAAATTAAAAATGAATACATAAATAAAGTTAAACAAAATAATTCTTTAAAAAAAAAAAAAGAAAGAAAGAAAGAAAAGAAAAACACACCAGGCACATGTGCACGTGCCCAGGATCCTGACACAGAGAAATGGAGGACAAAGGATTGCAGTGAGATCAGGCCTTGCTGGGAGTGCTCTCTGTCTCTTTCTCATGCCTGTCCTCTGGCATGAAAAGAAGATCCCACACCATGTAAGGAGCTCTGAAGTATCCTGTGGGCGATGTCCTGACTTGACACTCTGTAAAAGACAAAGGTTCTCTTCTCTACGGTTGTGATCATCTCCCCTCCACAGACTCCCAGACAGCAGGCACTGAGCGCTGGTGACTGGTCTTCCTTTACTTTTAGTTTTACCATCTATTTATGCTCAGAAAGCTTTCTCAGGCAGAGGATACCCCCCGATGCTAGCAGTCAGGTGCCCAGGACAGAATCCCCAGAAACAGGCTGACTATGGGGATCTGGTGTCTAACTTAGAGGTCTCGGAGGCTATGCTGGTACCAAGGTGGCTGTGTTCTTTTATTTATTTATTTATTTATCTTGAGACATTTTTGCTATAGGGCGTGCACACTCACCAGAGAGACAGAAAGTGAGAAATCACCCCTCAAGGGGGATGGCCATGCTGCAGTCCCTTCTCCTTGGTATCTTGGGCACGCAAGCACACATACACCAGCATGAGTTAAGCCTCCAGGTCTGGGACTCAAACTGCAGTCACGGCTGTGTTCTTGATGCCCAACCTTTCCCCTGGGGGGTGCAGCCCCCGCCAGGTCCTGTGCTGAAGAGCCCTGTGGCGTTGGGACCTGCCAGGAGACAGAGGGACATGTCGTATGCCTGTGCCCCCCTGGCCACACTGGCGAGCACTGTGACATAGGTAAGACCCTCATCGGCTGTGGGAGGTGAGGGCCAGGCACTGGATGGACTCCTTTATTCCCTGAAGGGGCCACAGACAGGAGCAAACCAAAGTCGACTGAGGCAACCTTGGACTGGGCGGAAATACACAGTGACCTGTGGGAGGGTGGACAGAAGCCGCAAGGTAAACGTGGCTCATCTTTCTAGAGCATCTAGTCAACATGGCAGTTTAGGAGAAAATCAAATCAAGTAAGCTAAGAAGTAGTTAAGTTTTTCTTTTTAAATTAATTTATTTATTTTAGGTCTTGCCATAGGGTACATGTGCTCGCTGGAGAGAGAGGAGACAGGAAGATGGAGAAGTGAGAAATTACTTCCCCCCAGAGGGATGGCCACACCACAATCCTTCTCCCTTCTCCTCTTGGGATTTGGGCATGCATGCACACACACCAGTGTAATGTTTCAAGCTGCTGGGTTTGGGACTCAAACCGCAGGCAGCCATGGGGAAGTCCAGCACCTTAACTACCACTTCACCTGCTGGCCCCTTAAGGGTGGTTCATTTTATATTAAACCAATGTTTAGAATGCAAAAACGTGCTTGCATTTTTTGAGAGATTTTTGCTATAGGGCACGAGCACTCACGAGAAAGACAGAGAGACTGACAGTGATAAATCACCCTCCAGGGGGGATGGGCACTCCGCAATCCTTCTCCTCCATTCTCCTCTAGGGATCTTGGGCACAAACACGCACACACGCACACGCGCACACGCCTGGCATGAGTTTAAGCCACTGGGTCCGGGACTCGAACCGTGGTGGACTACATGGGAGTTCAGTGACATAGTCATTATGCTAACTGCTGATCCCAAAATGTCCTTGCATTTCGAAGATAAAACATGAAAGAAATATTGAACTGAAGGTAAGACCATCACACCCCCTTGGCCCTGCACGGAATCTCTGAGAGGAGCTATAGATTTATTTATTCTGACCCCACACTCACAGCCAAGTCCCCAGTTTCCTTACTTAGAAGAATCAATGGTACCAGTCTTCAGTTTCAAAAACTCATGCCACCTAGGCACGCTCCCAAGGGTCTTGACTGACATGACTCCTTGGCCTTGGCATTAGCAAGGCATTTTAAACTCCCAGGTGACTCCAGGGTGCGGCCAGGGCCGAGAACCACTGCTGTGAGTGTAAGATCATCTGCACAGAGCATCTGGCCAGAAAAGGCATTTAATAAAAAGTAGTTCCCAGGCCAGCGGGTAGTATGCAGGTTAAGGTGCTGGACTCACAGATAGTCATCTGTGGTTTGAGTCCTAGACCCGGCAGCTCGACCCTCATGCCAGGCGTGTATGTCTGCATGCCCAAAATCACGGAAGGAGAAAGGAGGGGAAGAGACCGCAGCAGGACCATCTCCCCTGGGGGGTGATCTCTCACTTTCGGTCTCTTTCTGGCGAGTGTGCGAAATAGCAAAAATCTCTCAAAAGAAAAAAAAAAAAAAGAAAATTCATGCTAGGCACATGTATGTGCATGCCTAAAATGCCAGGAGGAGAAAGGAGAAGGGATGGTGGCATGGCCATCCCTGCTGGGGTGTGGTTTCTCACATTCCTCCTCTCTCTGTCTCTCTCTGGCAAAAGAAACTAAAAAAGAAAAGAAAAGAAGAAAAATTCCACTGCTCCACCTCTCACTCCACAAACTTTGGCACTTCCAAAGATCTAGTGGTGAGGATCTGCCCAGCACAAAACCTAGAGGCGCATTCCCTGTGACTGTCTGTATTACTGGGGTTCCAGGTCTAACTACTAAGTATAGTTCAAGATCCACAAGCTTCAAAAACAACTGCAGATAGTGCCCAATCTCCATGGTGACCCACCATTGTCTTGCACTAAATAGATAAGATTAAATTTTTAAAAATTATTTTTTTAAATAATTTTTTAAATTTAGCATTATTTATTCATTCATTTATTTTAATTTGACCAACAGAGTGAGAGAGAGAGGGAAAGTGAGAAAGCAAGCCGCCAGGTCTGGGACTCGAATCGTGGTCAGCTATGTGGGAGTCCAGCAGCCTTAACCACCATGTCACCTGCTGGCCCCCAAAATAATTCTTTAAATAAAAAAAAAATTATTTATTTTATTTATTAATTGTAATCATTATTATTTAAATTTGCTATGAGGCATGGCACTCACGAGAGAGAGAGAGAGAGCGAGAGAGCAAGAGAGAGAGAGAAAAGTGAGAAAGCAAGCCATCAGGTCCAGGACTTGAAACACAGTCCACCATGTGCGAGTCCAGTGCCATAACCACACACCACCTGCCAGCCCCGGATTAATGAATCTTAAAAAAAGAAAGAAAAAAAGATACTAAATTCCATATGGCTGACTCTGTGGTTCGAATCCCAGACAAGGTGGCTTGAAAATCACACTGGGCATATGTGCGCGTGTGCCTGCCAAAGTCCCTAGAGGAGAGAGGTGGGACTGCAGTGTGGCCATCGCCCCTCTGAGGGGCGATTTCTCACTTTCCCTCTCTTTTTTCTCTCTGGCAAATGCTTGCACTCTCTAGCAAAAAAAAAAAAAGGAAAAAAAAGAAAGAAAAAGAAGAGATGGTAATAAGACGCTAAGAGTCCAGGACCCCAGCATCTCTCTTTCCTTGTGTACAGGACAGAGACCCAATGTCTAGTCTAGTTGACTCGTCTACTCTCTCCTCTGTCTCTTCCCATCGGCCTTGCCTACTTAGCGGTGCAGGAAAGTCACTCCACGTTCCCTTACCTGCAAATGGCAGAATGCTGTCTGTGCACTGGGCTGTTGGGAGGCTGATGTGAGTCAGCTCAGGGCTCAGAGAAGGTTCTTGGCAGATACTGGTCCCCTCCCTGTCTTCTCTGTCTCGCGAAGCCTGCCCATTGCCCAAAGCCCTTCCCTTCTTCCTCCTGCCTCCATCTTGTCTGGGATCACCCATGCTGTGCTCATAGCAGGACCCAGTCCATCTCCTCCCTTGGTTCTAAAACCTGGAAGATGTCCTGACTGCCCTTCACAGAATGAGGTAGGCAGAGCAGGGCCAGAGTGGCTCTTCCAGCCAGAGAACAAAGAGCTGAGGCAATGCCAGCCTGAGTAGCTAAAAAGAAAGACTGTGGGGCTAGCAATGGTTACATCACTGGACTTCCACATGGGCAACCATGGTTCAAGTCCCACACCTGGTGGCTTCAAACTCACACTGGGTGCATGTGCATGTGTGCCCAAAATACTGAGAGAAGAGTGGAGGAGAAGGGATTGTTACGTGGCCATCCCCCCAGAGGGTGATTTCTCACTTTCTGTCTCTCTCTCTATCTGTCTCTCTGGTGAGCGCACATGCCTTATAGCAAAAATCTCTAAGGGGCCAGCAGGTGGCGTGTTAGTTAAAGGCACTGGTCTCCCACATGGTTGATCATGGTTCAAGTCCCGGGCCTGACGGCTTGCTTTCTCTCTCTCTCTCTCTCTCTTGCTCTATCCCTCTCTGGTCAAATTTAAATAAATAAATGAATAAATAAAGTTAAATAAAATAATTCTTTTTTTAAAAAAAGGAAAAAAAATCTCTCTCTAAATGAAGAAAAGAAAAAGAAAGGCCCACAGAGGATGCTCAGCCCCCTTCCTGCTGCTGGAGATGCTGACTCAGCCTCTTTAAACTGCTCCATGGCACCCAAGGGCTCTCTGATCTTCAAGACTGTGACCTTTCCTTCCCTCCTATCTGTAAACCAGGGCCCTGCCAGGAAAAAAAAAAAATAGAGAGAGAATAAAAACCCAGCCTTGGGGCCAGCAGGAGGTGTGGTAGTTAAGGGTGCTGGACTCCCACGCAGCCAACCGTGGTTTGAGTCCCGGTCCTGACGGCTTATTTTCTCACTTTCTCTCTCTCTGTCCCTCTCTAAGCAAATTAAAAGAAAGAAAAAGAAAGAAAGAGAAAGAGAAGGAAGGAAAGAAAAGAAAGAAAGAAAAAGAAACAAAGGAAGAAAGTTAAATAAAATAATTCTTAAAATAAATAAATAAAAACAGCTTCTGGAACCAGGAGATGGCGTGGAGGTTAAGGCAGGTGGGTCCCACATAGCCAGCTCTGCAGTTTGAGACCCAGACCCAGCAGCTTGATAATTGCACTGGGTGCATGTGCATACATGCCCAAAATCCTGAGAGGAGAATGAAGAAGGATTGGCATGGCCTATAGAAAAATTAAAAAACAGCTTCTGAGCCCAGGAATAGGTTCCTTCAATCCTGACAGCCCTCTCAGATATTATGCCTTGCCCAGACAGAAGGAAAATGGCGCCCCGGGGAGGTACAGGGCAATAATCCGTGGCCCAGCCTAACCTCTCTTTGGGGACTCCCACCTTCCCTGCCCTCCCCGCAGGAGCTGGCCAAGGCCCCCCCATTGACATCTGGCTCTTCTCCCCAGAGGCCACTCCTGTCCCCTGCTCTGAACAGCTGCTTTAGCACCTTTTGTTTGCTTACCTCCCCTTGTGGGTGCTTCCCATCGCCCATAAGGATGCTAATGAGAAGAGAAACGGGAGCCTTCCTGAGCAGGAGAACCGCCCAGCTTTCGCCCCGCCCACCGGCCTGACCTATTGCTGCTACTGCTGCTGCTGGGCATCCTGGTGCATGCTGGGAACCCAAGTGCATGCGGGGATGTTAGTCTGTTCCTCCATGCATTTCCGTTTTGCTTGGAACAGTTCCATGCTGGAACTGTTGGCCTCTAGTCCGCGGCATATGCTCCCTGCAGTGAAGTTAAGGACTCCTTGGAAGAGAACTGCCTGAGAACTGAGGAGATGCCCAAGAATGGAGATTTTCAGGACACACGTTGCACAAATCCAGATCTGGCCTATGTCTGCTCTGCATTGCTGTAAGGATCCAGAGGAACATGTTTTGGCTGTCTTATCAAAAGATCGACTGTAATGGCTGGTTTGCTCTTATGGGAGACAAGAAACTGAGTTCTGGGACATATTTAAGACTCTGAGGTACTATTTCCATCCCCTGTTCTGCTCACGCAGAAACTGATAGACAGGTCATCGGATCCTGGAGGGTATTTAACCATGGCTGCATATGGCATCTTCAAACCACATATCATGGTGCCCTGTAAGACAGTGGAACCACTCCTTGCAGAATTATATTGATCTCCAATACAAAAAAAGATCAAGAAGAGTTTCCTAATACCTTTTACCATGTTCCCAGAGTAGCAAATATAGGGAAAACAAAACCAAACAAAACAGCAGGAGCCTTTGGTTCAAATACCAAGAAAGCACAGGAGATCTCCAAGGTTTTCTGGTTTCTCAGAAAGATGTAGAAAGACCAGATTACAAGATTCGGTTTTCATCTGAACTAATCAATGACAATTTGAGACAAAGGTCAATGACAGCAATTCAATCCCTGCAGAGAAGTTTGGTTGGAAAGAATGGAAAAGAAGAATCTATCTGAGAAGAAGAGGCTGATGGGGGCTTGCCCATATCCCAGGCTGGTGCTCAAGGGTGATCACTTAATAAGCCCCTCCCTGGCTTAAAACACTTGTCTTCCACAGGCCAGGATGGAGCTTCTCTAGAAATTGTGGCTCACCAGAGTCTTCTGGGCCTTCAGTTGGGTGAAGATTACATGGGGAAATGTTGGGCAGGGTTTCTGTCCCTCTACAAGAAAATGATGCTACCTCCTTTTCAACAAGATACTAGAATCTTATCTAATAAAGACAACGAAGGTGTCTGCAACTTAAGAAGTCTAGTGAGTCTCATGCAAGTACCCCATGCTGCTACTTTCTCATGCATCTCTGCTCTACAGACCACTGCTAGGTTGTTCATTCTAGTACCCACAGTCTTGTCCTCTTTCCATGGATCAGAGCTACAGAGGAAGCCAGAAAAAGAAAAGTCTCTAACCAAGCTTCAAGAACTTTGACTTCGTTATCTTTGCTTGCCACCGTGTTCAAAGCCAGTTCAAACCCCAAGGCGTTGAAATGTTCATGGGAGAAGGCATCTCAGAGGAACTCGGTACTCACTCTCACAAAAGGCTTTGGAAGTACCAGATCTCTTCAACCCACTGAGAAACCTGGCTCCAGTGCTCCACGCTTGCCAATCAGGAGTCACATATGCCCAAGAAAACCCTTGACTGGATCTTTGGTTCCGCATTCCAAGATGGCGGCAGCAGCAGCAGCAGCAACAGTTCTTAGGAAAACCAGACAGTCCCCTCCCAGGGCTCTGGAGAACAGCAGGGCTGGCCACACGAAAGGAGGTCACAGTGCTTTCAAGGCCAGCGTGGCCGACAGGAGTCCTAATGGTGGCCCTTGGTTTCTTGCAGACATTGATGAGTGCCTCTCAAGCCCTTGTCTGAATGGAGCCACCTGCGTGGATGCCATCGACTCTTTCACATGCTTATGCCTTCCCAGCTACGGAGGGGACCTGTGTGAGATCGGTACGGCCGTCTCGGCTTCAGCTAATGTTACTAACTGCTGCACCCTTCTCCCTCTCACCCTTCCCTTCTAACATCAGGCTCTGGGTGCTGGCTGGAACCCCCGAGGTCCACCCAGACCGCCATTCCAGGGGCCACAGCTGAGAAGTCTCATCTACTGACTCCCAGTCTTCTACTTGCTCTTGTGCTTGAAAACTTCCTCTGGGGCATGTGCTGACCTGAACACAGGAGAGATGTGCAGGCCAGACCAGCCTGCACTCTGGAAGGTGGGCCTCTGGGAACCTTTAAAATACTAACCTTGGGCCAGCAAGAGGCGTGGTGGTTAATGTGCTGGATCCCACATGGCCAACTCACAGTTCAAGTCCCAGACCCAGCAGCTTGAAAAATATGCTGGGCACAGATGCGTATGTGCCCAAAATCCTGAGAGGAGAATGGAGGAGAAGGATTGTGGCATGGCTGTCCCCTCTGTGGGGTGATTTCTCACTTTCCCTCTCTCTGTCTCTGGCAAGTACACATACCTATGGCAAAAAATCTCTTTTAAACTATTTTTTTAATAAAAATAAAATATTAACCTTCTCAGGGCATCCAGATCTGCTGGTACCACCACTGAGGATGGTGCATGTGTCAGACTCCGAGGACAGAAGGGATTCATGTGTTTGTTCTGAAGGAATCTATGGGTGGGTGTACTTGGTTCTCACCTGGATGACAGCCATTGATCTGCCTGTGGTCACAGGCATGGGTCTGCCTGTCCTGTTGGCCATGGAATCTTCACAGTCCTTCTGTGGTCCTGGGAGTCACATGCCACTCTGGTCAAGCTACCTTCCTCTTCTGCTGGCATGAGAGCTATGGTCTGTCTGCCTGAGAGCTCCTATGTCACCAGCATGCTGAACTCACGCATGAACAGGGACTGCTGCATGTCACCTTCCCCTCATCACCACCGTGACAACTGCCATGTCAATGCCATGCCAGCACACGAGGCGAAGGCCTGCCAGAGAGAACAGTCTCATTGCAAAGGGCAGAGGCTGAGTTTCCTCACCTGGACCAGACCACCAGCTCTGCCCAGGGTAGCTGTGTGCCAGGCCCTGCCCAGGGTCAGACTGAACCCCCACCTCTCTCACTTTGGGGCTTCCTAGTTTCCCACCAGCTTCCTGGATTGCAGTGGCTTCCTAGCTCAGGAAAGGGGAGACGGGCTTTTGGATGTTAGGAGCAATGACCCCTGGAGAACTGGAAGCATGCAAGGGCTTAAAACCCTTTTCAGTGAAAACAAACCAACCTTTTCAGTGAATTCTCAAGTTGGATACCCGGAAACTTCCAGAAAGCAGCTGGAACTCCTGGGAAGTCTCCCTTTGGTCCTAAAGAGTCTGAGGAGGCAGTTTTTGAAGTCCACATTCCTGGAAGGCACTGCCAACATTGCAGACTGACAGAGGGACTTGAGGCTTCTGGAAGAAAAGGCCTGGATACCCTTCCTGCCCTCTATCCTTCCCCTCCCAAGCCCTCCAAGAAATTGGTGTATAGAGTCTTGGCTGGGGTGGGAGTGGAGAGCTACATGGATTTCCCCCCCAGGATGGCAAAGCATTTGCAACAGGGGAAAAGAGTCTGGAGCGTCCATGCAGACAGCACCTCCTGTCTTCCACCTCAGGAAAGGGGACCCGCTAGTGTGGAGGCGAGGTTCTCCCAGGGCTCTGCACCCTGATGGAACAGAAAGGGATTACCAGAGCCACCCCGCTGGGCCCTGGACCTAGGCTCTTCTCCCATTCCATTTCTGAGCCCTCACTACCTCTCAGGGCCTCATCCCTTTCCAGTTCCCTTCCAGCTTTGCTTACCCAGCTCAGCCTTCAGATACCAAGGGCACCCAGGGACTGACCCACAACTGGGCCCTGGGATAACATCTATGTCTGATTAATGGTGCTGAGCTGCCTCAAGGCCTGTCCACTTCTTTCCAGACCTTTGCCTCATCCCTCGGGCACCAGAGGTGTTCTCCTCGACCCCTCCTGCTATTCTACTTCTTCCCACCCAGACTGTCAGCCTCCCACTCTCCCCACTCTCCACTCTTCCCAACTGTCTCTCCTCCAGCTTTTGCAAGCATCCACCCCTTCAGGCACTGGTCTTTTCTTGCTGGGTTGGTCAGGCTATTGGTAACACCCATCAGGGAAGCTGTCATACAGCCTGAAGGCCCTGAAATTCCCTCTGCCCAGTGCTGAGCTAGCAACATTTGGCAAGAGGCTCTCACAGAATAAGGCAGAGCCCTGACTGGTAACATCTGCCAATTCCTGAGGTGTAAATACTCCCACCAGGACCAGTTTAAAGCTATCAGTGTGGTGTCACTGAAGTCAAAGTTAGGGAGAGACCCTCACAGAAGGCTCTTATGATCTTGAATGAGCCAACTCCAGCATGTCCCTGGCTCTGTCACCTAGGCTGCCCCAGGAACTCCAAACTAACCCCTTTTCTAGAATCCAGAACCACTGCAAATTTAGGCCTGTGAGGAGAGACTCCTCCCTTCTTTTCATCTGCCACCAAAAGAGAATAAACAGAAAGCCTGGGTCATGGACCTCGAGGGGTGACTGGCTCTCCAAGAGTACAGTACAGGGCTCAGTTCCAACCAGCCCCATTCCATGGCCTGAGCTAAGTCGACTTTGCACCCGAAGAAGACTCACTTTGCTCCTCCGTTCCCACCCAAGGTTCTGCAAGAAGGAAGTCTCCATCTCATGCCAGCACCACCTGCTCCTCTGCCTCCTCTCCCTGGAGCCCCTCAGAGCCTCAGAACCATGTCTGCCTTAAATCCCCAAACCTCCCACCCTCTCACCTTCCCACTGCTGAGCTCTGCCCGCCCTCCAAGCAGGCGTCAGCAGGGAGAAAGCTTGGGAGGTGACCCAGGGGCTGGGACACCAGGAAACAAAAGGGTCCCTGGTATTTCCCAGAGGCTCCCGGGGGTCAAGCCTTCCTGGTTTACACTCTGAGCCTCTCCCCCACTAGGCCTCACCTTCCCTCCTCTCCTCTCCCCTGATGGCATGATACTTAAGGTGGGGTGAACACAGGAGTCTGTGCTGAAGACTGGCTGCAGCCTCCTCTGTAGCCTGCCTGCCCGACCTTCAAGCCCCCACCCTGTGTTGCAGACAAGGAGATGTGTGAGGAGGGCTGGACCAAGTTCCAGGGCCACTGTTACCGCCACTTCCCTGACCGCGAGACCTGGGTGGATGCGGAGAGCCGGTGCCGTGAGCAGCAGTCACACCTGAGCAGCATCGTCACCCCCGAGGAGCAGGAGTTTGTCAATAGTGAGTACGACAGGACATCCAGGGCCTCCACGGCTGAGTAGGCAAAGGTCCATTGTCATTCAGAAGATGGGGCCCAGTGAAGCCACAGGCCTTGGCTGGAGGGTCGGCAGAGTGTTCCCGCAGCTTGAGTTCCCTCAGGGGGAAGACAGCGGTCTTTGGGGCTAGAAGCTCTGGCTGCAGCTGGGACAGTCCACTGCCAGTCAGTCAGTGCCAGACAAAGGCTGCAGCTGTCCCCGTCCATGCCAGCGTGCGGGTGTGGTCCAAAGTGCACCTAAGACCGGCATGTGCCAAGACCCTTGGAAGGACTATGGACGCAGATGGCATGTGCCTAGGAGCCCATCACCTTCTTCCACTGCGACCACATCCCTCTGCCTCCTGGGCTCAAGGTCCTCAGGAGCCCTCAGGGTGCCTGCCAGCACCCTCAACTCCTCTATCCTCTCTCCAGACAATGCTCAAGACTACCAGTGGATCGGCCTCAATGACAAGACCATTGAAGGGGACTTCCGCTGGTCAGATGGGCACCCCCTGGTGAGTTCTGCCGGCGGGCACCAGGCACAGCTGTGGGACAAAGACCCCCAGGGATGAGTCTCAGTCATCTCTGCCTCTGGAGACCAGCCACAAGTTGGACAGGTCATGTGAATGAAGGCATGAGCTAAGGAGGGGACCAGGAAGGAGATGAAAGATTTAGAGGGTCGTTGTCTGCAAAGGACCTCAGTCTAGCTAAAAGCAGGCGAAAGCATGGCTCATGTCAGATGAAGAGTGTGAGCGGGCAGTCCACTGTGGGTCAGCAGAGGACTGAGGGCCATAGGGAAGGCTCCCTGGAGGAGGCAAATGTGACTGGACAGAGGGAGAGGGGAACAATTCAATTAGAGGAAAGAGGATTCTCTTTTTCCTGAGCCAAAGCTAGAGGGAGAGACCTGTGGAACTTCTCTGGGCAGAGTTCAGACTTGAGAGCCAAATTTTCCTAGCCAACCAAGGCAGCTTTTGTGGTCAGCCCTCCTTGGACCTCATGGGAAAAAGGAGTGTGGGCCTGGCCCCATAGCCTAGTACTTAAGGGAGCTAGATCCGACATGGCCAACTGAGGTTCAAATCCCAGCCCTGGTGACATGTGCATGCACGCCCCAAATCCTTATAGGATGGAGGAGTGGAGGAGAAGGAATTACGGCATGACCATATCAACCCTGTAGGGTATTTTCTCCCTCATCCTCTCCCTGTCTTTTTGTTTCTCTCTGATGAGTGTATGCACCCTCTGACAATTGCCAAAAATAAAAAATGTGTGGGATCAGCTTGTGAACAGGACCGTGAATCCTTGGGCGTTCTGAGGTCCTGGACGGACCAGAGCCAGCTGTGCGACCAGTTCCCTGAAGAGCCCATGGTTCCATGGTACCTAGGATAGCTCCGAGCAGATTCTCAGCAGCCTTCACGGCAGCTAGGCAGCCTGGGTTGGGCTGAGAGAGAAAAGAAACTGGAGAGACTCAGTGGGGAAGAAAGTGGGGGTCTCCTGCCCTCTCCTCACCTCTTCCCTGCTCCCACCCACAGCAATTCGAGAACTGGCGCCCCAACCAGCCCGACAACTTCTTCGCCACTGGAGAGGACTGCGTGGTGATGATCTGGCACGAGAAGGGCGAGTGGAATGACGTTCCGTGCAATTACCAGCTGCCCTTCACGTGTAAAAAGGGCACAGGTGAGGCGGACCGGGGTGGATGGGATCAGTGAGCGAGTCTCCTTGTCCCTGGGTGGCAGGTGTCTCCTCACCTGTCCAACCGCAGACCAGAGCTGACCTGGGGGACCTCTCTCCACACCAGCATCCCAAGGCCAGGGACAAGGAAAGGCCAGCTGGCCCTTGGGGACCTTTGCAAGGACAGCAAGAGTGTGATGACCACAGCCCAGGGAACTGGAAGCCCCACCCCACACATACACACAGCCTAGGAAAGGAAGCAGGAGGGCCAGTGCCCCCCAGCTTCCTGTGCTGCAGGCAAGACAAGCTCTACAGGCAGGCAGGGCTCACCTGGGGTGGAGCGCTCGGCCCCTCCCAGGCAAGGTGATCCCTGGGGCTCCAGGCTGTCCCACCACAGCCAATGTGGGCCATCGTAGACAGCCCTTGAGAGCTCTTCCTAAAGCCCCTCTGCCCCTCAGTGGCCTGTGGAGACCCTCCCGTGGTGGAGCACGCCAGGACCTTCGGGCAGAAGAAGGACCGATACGAGATCAATTCACTGGTGCGGTACCAGTGCACAGACGGTTTTGTCCAGCGCCACGTGCCCACCATCCGGTGCCAGCCCAGCGGGCACTGGGAGGAGCCTCGGATCACCTGCACAGACCGTGAGCACTGCCCTCTCCCTCCATGGGCACGGGGTTAGGTTCTGCCAGCTCAGCCCCCTCCCTGTCCTGTCCCCTGGGCACAGCGGTGCCTCCTCTCTCCAGGATCCTGTGCCATCTGCATGGCTAGCAAGGTGACCAGGTCGGGGCCAGCTTGGTCACAAATCCCTGACTCCTGCCCTCAGGAGGGCCAGGTGCCTGTCCCAGGAGAGGGCTCACTTTCACAGAGAGGACCAGGAGAAACTGGGGGTTTGCTTTCCTTTCAATGCCAACCTGAGCACCCTCAGCCCAAGATTTCAAAGCAGGGGCCAACAAGTGGCATGGTGGTTAAGGCACTGGACTCTCACATAGCCAACTTCAGTTCGAGTCTCAAATCTGGTGGCTTGCTTTCTTACGTTTTCCTCTCTTTCTCTATCTCTCTATGGTTAGATTTTAAAATAATAAAAATAAATAAAATTAAACAAATAGTTCTTTAATGGGGCCAGTAGGTGGCGTGGTGGTTAAGGCACTAGACTCCCACATGGCTGATCACAATTTGAGTTCTGGACCCTGCAGCTTGCAGCTCACTTTCTCTCTCTCTCTGTCTCTCTCTCTCTCTCTCTCTCTGTGTGTGTGTGTGTGTCTGGTCAAGTTAAAAATAAATGAACAAATAAATACAATTAAATCTTAAAAAAAAAAAAAAGAAAAAGAAAGAAAGAAAAGATTTCAAAGCAGGAAAGCTTCGGACTCTCCTAATGAGCCCGTGTTTTCCACTGGGAGGCCACCAGCAGAGAGAGGGCTGGCTGGGAGGAGGCTGGGCTTAGCCCCACTTTTTTTCTGGGTTCATTGATGGTATCTTCCCATCCTCCCTTCCCCCCAGCCTCCACCTACAAGCGCAGACTACAGAAGCGGAGCCCAGGGAGGAGCCGCCCCAGCACGGCCCACTGAACACGGCTTCCAGGATGCCGAGCCCAGGAGCCGGCCAGGCCGACAGCACATCCCACCGATGGTGTCCTCCTGTTGTCGCTTTTTGTCATATAAGGAATCCCATTAAAGAAGGAAAAACAAATGAATCCCACATTGTGTATGCACCCACCCACCCCCTCAAAATCGCCAAAACTGCATCTAATTGGTCCCCCAAATGCCAAAGCGAAGCAAACTGATTGTAACCCGTGGACTGAGTTTAGAGACATTTACTTCTTCGATCTCCCATCGTGCCTTTCCAGGGACCAGTTCAGGGACAGGGGGAGAAGGGGAGGGGTTAAGTTAAATAAAGAAGATTATTTTTTGTTTCCTGACTTGATCCAAGAGCAGTGCAATTGGTTATTTCATCTCCAGGGAGAGCTAGGGAGGGAGGAGGGGCAGAGGCCTGAGGGCAGGAGGAGCTTGGACCGACAGCAACTGAATCTTCAAGAAAGGAGCCCCCCCCTCCCCAGGGCTGCACCATCTGTGTGGGGAAGAAGCCTTGGAGGAGACTGGGTGGTTCCCACCAGCCGGCCATGGGTGAGCGGGCAGGAGAGAGCCATCGGAGGGATCTTGTGCTGCAGGGGGGTCGGTTCCCTCAAAAGGTCCCGCTTCCAGTGTCTCCCTCCCCCAGGTTTGTCATCCTAGCAGGTGTCAATCTCGGCAGGGCTGGGTGGGGGCACTCCCTTCCCAGTGGGGGTGCCACCCCACTCTTCTCCCCTCCCTACCCTTTCCCCACCCCACCCCACCCCCGGGACCGTGCAGGCACCAGGGTTCCGTGCACCTATTTATATTTTTGGAAAACTAAAGATTATGATAATTATAATAATAATAAAGACATTGGAAGAGATCTATCTCCCCCGGGCACGTGCAGGCACCAGGGTTCCGTGCACCTATTTATATTTTTGGAAAACTAAAGATTATGATAATTATAATAATAATAAAGACATTGGAAGAGATCTATTTCTTCTCCCTTTTTTAAAATGTATGTTTTTATTATTCTTTTCCCTTCTTTTAAAGAGGAGCAACTATGATCGGGGTCTACTGAAAGGGCTCTTAGAAATGGTGACAGTGGGACACATTTTGATCAGATGACCCAAACTGGCGTGACTCTTGTCTGCTCAGAGAACCTGTGGTGCTTTATTTTATTTTTTTAAGAATTATTTTATTGAACTTTATTTTTATTTAGTTAGTTAGTTTCATTTGACCAGAGAGGGACAGAGTGTGAGAGAGAGGGAAAAAAAGGGAAAGCAAGAAAGCAAGCCACTAGGTCCGGGACTCGAACCACAGTCAGCCATGTGGGAATCCAGTGCCTTCAACCACCACGCCACCTGCTGGCCCAAGAATTATTCTATTTAACTTGATTTATTTATTTTCAATTTGACCAGAGAGGGACAGAATGAGAGAGAGGGAGTTCCCTGCCTGCCCCAAGGGAATGAGTGGGCTTGTGACACCTGGGACAGAAGTGCCCCATCACACCCGCTGGACAGGGAACGGGAGACAGTGAGACAAAGAGGAAGGCCAGAGATGGAAGAAGGTCATAGCACCATTTATTGTCCTAAGAAAGTACACACCTGAGGGCCACTCCCCGAATGGCGGAAAACGAGACCAAAACAGACTCTGGAACCCAGAGGAAAGGAGAGGATGGGGAGGGGGAGGCTCTCCGTTTCCTGGATCTCACCCAGAAGCAGGGAGGGGGGGAACCACTTCCAGCCTGAGCTCCTCAGCGGGGCTGACTGTGGCCAGCAGCTCCACAGAGAGGTAAGGAGGGGCAGGAGACCACAAGGCCCAGAGCCAGCTCCGGGGGTCCTCCAGAGGCCCTCTCACTCCTCCAGGCTGAGGCAGAGGGAGATCTGCAGCCACTGAGCCCTGAGCCTGTGGCACCCTGGGCAGCCCACTCTGGTTGCAGGTCCCCCAAGGCAGGAAGCCCTATAGAAGCCCAGGAACCTCCACTGTCCCAGAGGAGAGAGGCACCCCGAAAGGGGAAAGGGAGGAGTCGGATTCTGTTGGATATGCAAAAGATCATGAAATTGGGCCAGCAGGTAGTCTGGAGATTAAGGCACTGGATCTCACAAGGCCGATTGTGTGGTTCAAGTTCTGGACCTGGCAACTTGAAAAACACACTGGGCGCATGTGCACACGTGCCCAAAATCTAAGAAGAGAATGGAGAAGGGATTGCAGCATGGTCATCCCCCACAGGGATGAGTTCTCACTTTCCCTCTCTCTGGTGAGTGCACATGCCTTTAAGTTGAGAAGTATAAAAACAATACTGAAATTGCCCCAATCCATGAGGGAAAATGAACAACTCGATAAATACACAGCCCTGAGGGAAGGGGGCAGGAGCAGGGCCAGAGCTGGCCTCCCTGGCCCTAGTGCTGGTGGTAGCAGTAGACGCCGTACGAGCGACTCTGGGGGTTTGGGAAACCGAAGCTCCGGACCCCAGGCTCTGGGGAACCACAGTTGGGACGGGGGTGAGCCACAGGATAGCGGACGCTGCCATCGGCCAGCCAGCCAGCATCACAGCGGTCCAAGCCATGGAACCTCCAGGCCGCAAAGAGCTGGCCCACCTTGGCGATCTGGGCGCCATCTTCCCGGCAGGCCTCCCTTGCCTCTGTCAGCGTTAGCTTCTCGGGGTGCTCCAGGTAGTACACCTTCCCTGGGAGGAAATGGGGTATGAGTGCTAGGCAGCAGAGGGGGTGGCCAGAGGGGACAGCAGGACCTGCAGAATGCTGACCCAATAGTGATTGAGCCCAGGAAGACATCACACTGTGGGCATCTACACCGGACACTTTCGGGGGTACCTTCCAAGTCCTCACCCTCTCCCTGAGGGCCATGTCTGCCCTCCCCTGCCACTCTTCTCTAATTGTACCCTGTGGGGGCACCCCACCTAAGCTGGATCAGTTAGTTACTTATCCATTCAATCGTTTACTGAGCACCTGCTATGTGCTGGTATTTTTTTTTTATGTTTTTTATCACCTTGCTATTTTTTTTAATTAATGCCTTATCTTTTATTTTATTTCTTTTCTTTTTTTGAGAGAGAGAGAGAGATTTTTGCTACACAGCACGTGTACTCCCCAGGGAGACAGAGACAGACAGAAAGTGAGAAATCACTTCCCTTCCCCAGAGGGGATGGCCACAAGGCAATCCCTTCTCCTCCACTCTCACCCCAGGATCTTAGGCATGTATGCACACACACCCAACGTGAGTTTCAAGCCTCTGGGTCCAGGACTTGAACCGCAGTTGGCCATGTGGGAGTACAGCAATGTAATTATTATGCCATGTGCTGGTCCCTATTTATTTATTTATTTATATTTATTTTTTTAGACGTTTTTGCTATAGGGCACGTGCGCTCGCCAGACAGAGAGAGAGAGAGAGAGATAGAAAGCGAGAAATCACCCTCCCAGGGGGGATGGCCATGACACAATCCCTTCTCCTCCATTTTCCTCTCGGGATCCTGGGCTCGCACACACACGCGCCCAGCGTAAGTTTTAAGCCACCGGGTCTGGGACGCAAACCGCGTTCGACCACGTGGGAGTCCAGCAACATAGCCATTACGCTAACTGCTGGTCCCCTCTTTATTTATTTTCAAGGCACCAGCTCTAGGACTTGAACCACACAGTTGGCCATGGAGGATCCAGTGCCTTAACAGCCACACCACCTGCTGACCCCACCACATACTTTTCTAAATGCTAGGGATAAGGCGCTAAACCAATCTGTTCGCATGTTTATCTTCCCCTGAAACATGGATAGGTGGTTTTATGAGGACAGATCGTGTTTTGAATGTCCATGATGGAGAGCCTTGTGGAGACCCAGAGACGTGTGATGAACGAATAAACCAGGGATCGGTTTGAAGCAGAACACTCAACTCTCTGACGGATATTGCCTCAAGACCTGCTGGGCAGGTGTTCAGGGGGTACAGAAGCTCCCCAGGCTCCCCGTATGCTCCAGACTGCCACCAAACCCACAAGCTAGTGCCTGGCGGTTCCACTTACCCCTGAGGGCGGCGGCGAAGCAGAACACATCATAGCGATGCAGGCGGCGGTGGCGCAGGCCGTAGCTGCGCACGCCGGGAGCCAGGCCCAGGCCGCCGCAGGGCTGCCGGGGCAGCGTGATGGGGTACTGCACCGAGGCATCCTGCAGCCAGCCTGCGTTGCACCAGTCCAGGCCCTCCTCCCAGGCCCGGAAGAGCTGCTCAAAGGAGGCCACCACCGAGCCCTGCTCCTCACAGGCCTGCTGTGCCTCGTGGAAGTTGAGCTGGTAACGCCCCTGCCGGGGCTGGTAAAAAAACCACACCTGGGGAAGCAGGAAGGCAGACCTTGTAGGGGCATGCAGGGGCCCGGCTGGCTGGACACCCCAGCTCCTCCCACCTCCTCTGGGACACGTGCTTCCTCCAATGTGCACGCTGACAAACACGCACACAAATAAACACACACATGCATGCATGCACAGGCCCTGTCCCTCAGAGAAGCTCAGCAAAACTCAAATCTTTTGTCCACTACTTTACACCTCCTCCTGGAACCAGGCCGACAGGCAGTAGCACTCAGAAAACACTGAATGGGCCCAGCAGGTGGCATAGTGGTTAAGGTGCTGGACTCCCACATGGCCGACTACAGTTTGAGTCCCAGAACTGGCGGCTTGCTTTCTCACTTTCCCTTGCTGTCTTTCTCTCTGGTCAAATTTTAAAAAGGAAAAATAATAATATTAAATAAATTAAGCTACATAAAATAATTCTTTTAAAAAGAAAAACACTGAATAGCTTGTTAAGGTAACTAACCAGTCAGTCAGCTAATGTCTCAGCTACAGAATGGGACTGGTTTCTAATTCACAGGGGTGTCGCAAGAACCCCAGCTAGGATGTCTACGGCAGATGGGAGCAGGTTTGGGGCTCTAGAGGCTGGGCTTAGGTTCTCAGCTCCCCCTCAACAGCTAAGACCTGATTACAAGTGTTAACAATTGATGTGGAAGCTCTTTCGGAGAATGCAAAAAACTTTCCACACATGACAGAAGCTTTTCAGAGGACTTCCACCTGGACATTGTGGAAAAGGGGGTGGTAAAGGGCCCTCAACTAAAGAAGGATCAAGGTCAGGGAGAGCCTGAGGCAGGGGTGTCCTTCCTGGTAGCCAGGTTCTGACAGGGTCGACAGGTTTCTCTCAAAAGTTACTGCCGCAGGGATCGCAGATGGCACGGTGGTTAAGATGCTGGATTCCCACATGACCAACTACAGTTCGAGTCCCAGACCTGGTGTCTTCCTTTCTCACCTTCTCTCTCTCTTTCTCTGGGCACATTTTAAAAATAACAGTAAATAAAATGAAATAAAAGTGAGTCTAAAAAAATAAATAAAGTTACTGTTGGGGCCAGCAGGTGGCATGGGGATCAAGGCAGTTGGATCCAACAATGGCTGACTACACGATTTGAGCTGTGAGACTAGCTCCATTTTCCTTAGAATGGGATGCGAGGGAAGGAATGGAGGGTAGCCACCTGAGTTCAGTCCTGCCCAGATTCGAACCACGGTGGACTACGTGGGAGTCCAGCGACGTAGCCGTTATGCCCTCACCTGGTCCTGAGACTTAAGCCTGTCTATCTGCCTAAAGCGCGAAGGCCCAAGCGCTTCTCCCCTCCTCACTCGGTCCCGGTCAGGGCTCACCCCGCAGCTCCAGCTCCACCAGGCCGCTCTCGTCCTCCAGCCCGTCAATGACCTCGCAGCGGTAGCGCCCGTAGTCCTCCAGCTGTAGGTCCTGGATCTCCAGCGAGACATCCCGCTCGCTATCCTGCCGCAGGCGCACCCGGCCTTGGTAGTCGCCGAAGGAGCGGTGCCTTGGCCCAATGGCCACCAGCACATCGAGCTCCGGGGCCCCGTTCTCCGGCAGCTTCCACCATTTAATGCGCACGGGCCTCGGGGAAACGAGGGCCGGCTGGTAGTGGTAGCGGCAGGGCAGGATCACGCTGGCCCCTTGGTAGGTGAACAGGGTCTCCTCGGGTGTCTCCACTATCAGCTTCTCGCCATTGAAAAGGCCTGGAGGGAACAGCAGATAGTATAATGCTTATGCCGCTGCACTTCTCCATAAGCCGACCATGGTTCAAGCCCTGGACCCCGGGGGGCTTAAAACTCATGCCAGGTGTGTGTGTGTGCATGTCCAAAATTCCGAGGGGAGGTGGAAGAGAAGGGGCTGTGGTGCGGCCATCCCTCCTAGGGGGCTGATTTCTCACTTTTTGTCTCTCCAGCGAGCACATGTGTCCTGTACCAAAAATGTGTCTTTAAAAAAAGAAGAGGCCTGGAGAGGCAAGATACAGAAGGAGCCCTGCCAAACGTATCTGTACCCCTGTAGGGACCACCCCGACCCTCATCCCTAGTTCCCTGCAGGCTTGCAGGTCACAGATTGCAAAAACAGCTACCAGGCTCCATCCTCCCTGCACCCACAGCTCTGCAATGTCACTGCATTTCCTTCCATCAAGAGGTGACATTTAGGGACCAGGCCTACAGCATAGTAGGGAGGCTGGGGCAGGCGAAGGGGGTCACATTGAAGCTGGTCCTTGAAAAATTGGCAAGACTTGGAGATAGTATTAAAAGTACAATTGGGGACCAGCAGATGGTGCAATAGTTATGTTGCTGGATTTCATGGAGTCGACCGTGGTTGGAGTTCCAGACCCAGCGGTTTGAAACTCACGCCGGCACATGTGGGTGCCTGTACCCAAGATTCTGAGAGAAGGATGGAGGAGAAGGGACTGCGGTGTGGCCATCCCCCCTGGGGAATGATTTCTCACTTTTGGTCTCTGTCTCTCCAACGAGCACATGTGCCCTATAGCAAAAATCTCTCTTAAAAAGAAAGAAGTGGGGGAGCCGGCAGGTGGTGTGGTGGTTGAGACGCTGGACTCCCACGTGATTGACTACAATTTGAGCCCCGAACCTGGAGGCTTACTTTCTCACTCTCCCTTTCTGTCTGTCTCTCTGTGGTCAAAAATGAAGAATAATGATAATAAATAAAATTAAAAACAAGTAAATCTTAAAAAAAAAAAAAAAAAAAGGTACAACTGATGGTTCCTAACCGAATGGCTCCATGTCTAAGGGTCGTGCAAGCAGAATAACTAGATCATCTCTTGCTCTCCTTAGAAGTGAGTCTGGGGGGCCAGCAGGTGGCATGGTGGTTAAGGTGTTGGACTCCCACATGGTCAACCATGTTGACCTGGCGACTTGCCTTCTCATTCTCCCCTTCTCTCTCTGTCTCTCTCTGGTCAAATTGAATAATAATAATAAATAAATAAAATAATTTAGGGAAAAAATAAAAAAAGAAGCGAGTCTGGCCCACTGCAGGACCCAGACAGAAAAGGGCTTCTGGATTCTTCTTGTCCTCTACCCCTGCCTGGAACCCATGTATCACAGGAGAAGCCAGGGAAGGTCTTGGTCACCCAGGTAGAAAAGCGCTGGGCCCAGGAGGCCGCCCACCTTCACTGCGGCCATTGCCCTGGTTGCGGCCCTCAGGGCGGTTGGAGTAGTAGAAGCCGTTGTAGAAAGGCAGCCCAGAGACGCCACGCAGGGGCAGCAGCAGGGCCAGGAGCAGCGGGCCCATCGCGTCACACACGGCTGCACAGCCAGGATGTCCTGGGCAAGGCAGGGGCGCCAGCGCAAACTGAGAAGAGGAGGAAAACATTGCCAGTTAGAGCAGTCTCGCTGCAGGGGGAGTGGGCACCCCCATGCCAGCGCCCACTCATTCACTCGCTCACCAGTCCATGGAGGAGCATCTTCTACCTGCCGGGAGCTGTTCTAGGAGCAGAGACAAGCCACTGCAGGTTCCTGCTGGCAGGGGCCGTACCCTGCTGAGAAGATGGGCAATGAGCAAACAAACTGCAAGAAGGAATTTGCAGGTGGCAAAAAATAATAGAGAAAACTAAACGGTAACAATTTCAAGCTTTCAATTTGAATTTAGTGAGCAGCGTTGTCCTAGGGAGATACAACAGACTAGACTAGGCTAGGGAATACCGGCACACGCGGTGTGATTACTGAGGTAAGTTCTGCGTTGTGGAACTTGTTTCAGTCCGGAAATGCCTGTGGAGGGTGAGGGAGGGGGTCACAATGAAATTTAGTTCAGAGCTGGACTCCCACATGGCTGACTACGATTCAGGTCCCGGACCTGGCGGCTTCCTGTCTCACTTTTCTGCTCTCTCTCTCTCTGAGTCTCTCTCCAATCAAATTTAAAAATAATAATAGGACCAGCAAAGGAGGTGATGGCAACATTGCTGGACTCCCTTGTAGTTGACAGTGGTTCAAGTCCTGTGTGAGCTTAAAACTCACACAGGGTGCATGTGTGTGCATGCCCAAAATCCCCAGAGGAGAATAGAGAAGAGATTGCGACATGGCCATCCCCCCTTGGGGGTGATGTCTCACTTTCTGTCTCTCTGGCAAGTGCACACACTCTATAGAGAAAACCTAAAATAATAACAATAATAAATAAAATTTAATAAATATTTCTAAAATAATGATAAACCAGGGGCCAGCAGGCGGTGCAGTGGTTAAGACACTGGACTCCCACATGGCTGACTACAGTTCGAGTCCTGGACCTGACAGCTTGCTTTCTCACTTTCCCTTTCTCTCTCTCTCTTCCTCTCTCACTCACAAGGCCAGGGTGACAGCAGACAACTGCAAATGTAACCGCAATGTGAGTACCATGCAGCGACGTGGAGGAGGCACGGAGTGTAATTTAAGATGGACAAAGCAGAGCCCACAATTGCCACGGTGCTCTGACCTCAAGCATCTAGTCTTAGGATGCCTGCGCAGAGGAACCAGAGGGAGGGAACGCTGGAAAGACAGGCTGGGTGAGGAAGGAAGGAAAGGGAATGAAAAGGAAAGCATTGCCTGAAAGGGTGATGAGACTGTGGAGGACACAATCTTCTCTTTTAGCTCTTGCTGGGGAAGAGGGAATGGCTGTGGAGGAAGCTGAGGATCCACCAGCCTCTTAGTTACTGTCACAGAAAACTCGAGGGCCAGCTTCCCTGCACTACACCCACTGCCTGCCCTGAAGCTTTGTTCCCTGTCCAAGATGAATTATCCGGCTGACACCCATAGAGCCTTCCAGTGACATGGAACTAGGCAGCCTAAGCACAGCTGAGTTAGAGTGTTTGGGAACCAAAAGATCTAGGTTCAAATCCCGACTCCGCTATTCACGAGTTGTGTGATTTGAGGCAGGTTTTCTCAGTTGAGAAAAACTCACCCTGGTGGAGCCAGCAGGCGGCGAGGTAAAGGCACTAGGCTCCCATATGGCCGACCACAGGTCAAGTCCTGGACCTGGCAGCTTGCTTTCTCACTTTCTCTCTCTGTCTCTCTCTGTGAGTTTGTGTGCCCTATAGCAAATTAAAACAATAATAATAAATAAAATTAAACAAATAATTATTTTAAGAAAAGAAAAACTTGGGACCAGCAGTTGGTATAATGGCTATGTTGCTGGACTTCGATGTAGTTGACCACGGTTCAAGTTCCGGACCTGGTGGCTTAAACTCACGCCGGGCGTGTGTGCGTGCATACCTAAGATCCTGAGAGGAGAATGGAGGAGAAGGGATTGTAGCATGGCCATCCCCCACAGGGGGTGATTTCTCACTTTCTGTCTCTCTGTCTCTCTCTGTTTTTCTGGCAAGCACACACGCCCTATAGCAAACACCTCTCCAAAAACAAACAAACAAAAACAAAAACAAAACTCACCCTGGTGTATTTCCTACCACATGCTCCAGTTTTCTCCCAGAGTAATAAGGTTCTAGAAAGGTGCGTGGCGCTCAGCCACAGGCTGTATTTCCAGCTCTCCTTGCAGCTCACGGGACCATGTGACTCAGTTCTGGCCACTGCAGTGAGCAGAAGTCACATGTGCACATCCACCTCTTACAGTTACAATTGGGGGCCGGCTCTGTGGTGGGGTGGGAATGCACTGCTTGGGAGAAGTTGCATCCCAGTGGTGACCGTGGTTGGAATCCCCAGCCTGGTCAGCCTGAACAAGTTGGGCATGCACGTGAGTGCCTAAGACCCATCAGGAAAGGGAACATTCTATCAAATAAGCAAATTAATAATAATAATAATTTTCTCTCTCTCTCTCTTTTTTTTTTTTTTTTTTGTGGGGTGGCCATCCCCCACTGGGGGTGGAGGGGGGCGATTTCTCACTTTCTGTCTCTCCAGCCAGCGCACACGCCCTGTAGCAAAAATATCTCTCTCAAAAAAAAATATATATATATATAAATAAATAAAAGAAGTATTTATTTCATTTTATTTATTCATTCATTTATTTTAATTTGACCAGAGAGAGAGAGACACAGAGAGAAGGAAAGTGAGAAAGCAAGCCACAAAAGTCACCAGGTCTAGGATGATCCGTGGTCAACATGTGGGAGTGTCCAGTGCCTTAACCACCTTGCCACCTGCTGGTCCCAGTTATTTATTTCTTTCATGGGGAAAACAAAACAAAACAAACAAAAAAAAAAACACCTCAGTAGGGACTCACACTGCGATCCACATCCCCAGCCTTCCTGGCAGGATTGTGGGTATGGGCACCCCAGTGCATCCAGGGAACCGAGCAATGATCTTTTGCACAACTCTGGCATTGCTGGAAGAGTCCAATACCATTACACGAAGTGAGCCAGCCTTTCACAGCCAAATTTAAGGAGCAGTTAATCATCTCACCTCACTGCAACCCTTACAGACAGGCCCCATCAGTATGCCCATTTTACAGGTGGGAAAACGAGGCACAGAGAGATGAAGTAATCTGTCTAAGGTCATCCCGCTAGGAAATGGCAAGGCCAAGATCTGAACCCATTGCAGCCCCAAAGCTGAACCCTGCTTGCAAAGGAACTGGGTATCACCTCTCCCCCAGTAGTCACATCCTCACTGGGCCACCGAGGAGCACAAGTCTCCCAGGCACCAGGAGAGGGCAGCATTGCCCTCCAAAGTCCCTACCGGCTCAGCTCCAGCTTGGAATGTGACATCCGTGCCCCCAGAGCAGACCAGGCTCAGCGCCTTTGAAAAGCCGCGGCCCCGGGAAAGTGGAAGCCAGAGGCGTTTCCGACAGCGCTCCGGGTCCGCTGGCCGGTGCAGGACGGCGGGAGAAGGGCCAGGGCGCTCCCAGTCGCCGACGCTCACACAGGTCAGTGGCCCACCGAGGGTCAGCGCTGGACACCGAGGCCCAGCAGGTCACCGGCAGCCCATGGACACCCACCTAGCGAGCTGGTGGCAGGGCTGGTTCCCAATGCCCCGCGCTGTCTCCTTCCTGGCTGCTCACGAGCCTAAATTCCTCCCTGCGCGACGTCATCTCC